AACCTTTTAAAAAGTAAAATTTTTGGATAAATATTTGATGGTAAAGTCCAATTTTTGCCAAATATTCTCTATGGGATTTAAGTCTGGAGAATTCCCATCACTTATGTGAGCCATTTTTTGCTCCGTTCTAAACAATCGTATTTTTATTAAATTAATATTTTAATATTTTGAGAAAATGTATGTTATGTAATAATTGTTACTAAATTTAAACACGCCCACAAAAAATTTTTACATGTTTCTTTAATTTATTTTACTACAGTTTTCTTTTGTAAAGCACAAGTGTCCCATCACTTTGTGAGACACTGTATATATTTGTAGATCAGAAAATTTCGGCACATACTCGAAGGTCGGGCCTTTACAACCTACGCGGATCGAAAGCTGATAATATTTGCTTTTAAGCAAGAATCCGAAAAATGTTCTCCAAAATTTTACCATCTTGATTTTATTGGCCAATTTTCCACTGATATAAGATACATCAAAGATTGTGACAACATCGTTGCTGACGCCTTATTTAGGGCAGAAATAGATGCAGTTTCTGATAATCAACATGGGCCAACCAGTGGCCGAGCTGTAAAGTTGCTGAACGCTAGTAGTTCGTTACGGGTTTCGAATCTCGGTAACGGGCCGGGTGCATGGGATGGGCGCTTTGGTGGTTTTCTTCATGCGTAACGTGTATACGAGTCAATTTCCCTTAGAAAGCCCTCCCTCTCCTTAGGCATATAGCCCTCACGTGCTTTGACACCATTAAATAATTAACTTTTAATGAACATATTGATTACAAAAAGTTATCTGAAGCATAACTTCAGGACACCAAAATTCTCTTTCTCTCAATCTTCACCAGTTTTTAAATTAGGGAATATTATTTTCCTTTAGATGTTTACTGCAATATGGACACAGGTACACCTTGTCCGCTCATTCCTGAATCTTCTCGCTCTAAAATTGTTCAGCAGGTTCACTGCCTTTCTCATGCTGCCATCTCAGCCTCAACAAAACTGATCACTAAGCGATTATTTTTGACCTAATATGAAGGAATTTGCTAAAACTCCCGTTCAATCTTGCCTACAATGTCAACATGCTAACATTCAAAATTGTGGATACTTTTTCTCTGCCTGATGGAAGATTTGCACATATCCATATTCATTTCGTAGGTCCTCTTCCACCGTCTGAAGGTAATAGTTTAAAACTAAACTCAGTGGCATAACAGCCCTAGTGGGCCAAGGCCTGAAGTACCCCCTATATCTGCTTTCTTGACCGTGGGCTCCAGGGTGCATGAGCATATGCCCTGGACAAGTGGTCAGTTTGTCGCAAGACCCCTGGTGTTTAGTTCCCAAGCGAACTTTGTACTCATTTTATCGACCCACTCAAGGGATGAAAGGCTGAGTCGACCTTGCCTAGCCTGGGAATAGAACCCCGGACCTGTGGTGCTGTTGCGCAACGTGCTAGCCACTGGGCTTCGAAGGTTACAGTTTAAGCATGACAATTATTGATCGCTTCACAAGATGGCCCAGAAGTTACACCTACTGCTGACATGACTGCTCAGATTAAAGTGTTAGTACACTTTAGCTAGATTTGACTTTCCCAAATCAATAACAATTGATCAAAGCCGAAATTTTGAATCTTATTTATTTAAGGGTTTGATTAAGGTTTTGGGTACACACCACATTCAAACTGCTACTCATTCCAATGGGCTGAATGAAAGATTTCAGAGGCAGCTTAAAAGTATAATAATGGCTCATAACAATCTAAAAATGGACTGAAGTTCTGAGTGTAAGATGTGCAATTAAAAACGATATAAATGCTACATGAGCCAAACTTGTTTATGGTACCACACTTACCCTCAGATATATTGAGTGTTACTTATTCTATACGTTCTTCTGAATCTTATGTTTCACAGCTTCGATCAGTCATGCATTCACTCAGACCAGTTTCAACCTCTAAGCATATTCATCTATCAATTTATGTACACCTATTCTCATGTATTTCTAAGGAATGATTCTGTTAAACCTCCTCTAACTCCACCTTACACTGGACCTTATACTGCTATTAAACAAACAGATAAAAATTTTATTATTGAGCTGAATAGGAGGAAAAAAAAAAGTTTCAATCGGTTGTATAAAACCAGCATGTTGCCAGAACGTACAGATAGACATATAATTCCTCAGATTCCTTATCAAGAAATTTGAAGACAAACATTGCTCCAAAACAAATACCTACTTTCAGTGAACATAGCGTCCTTTTCCCCAAGACTGATCACTGTGATATAATTGAATATTTTTTCTCTTATTTATCTGCTATAGAACTTACAATGTATGAATACTTCAATTTTTTTTCTATATGTTTGGGAGTTTTCTAAAATTCTTATTTTATTAACTTTTATTTAATTTTGTTAAATTACAATATGTACTGTATCGTTATATATTTCAATTAGAATTTTAAGTTATATTATTACATGTATTTCACTATTTATATGTCAGGTATTTTATATATACATTTCAATGTGTATTTAAAAGTTTAACTTTTATTCAAATCTTGTAATCAACCCCTTCTGTTTCATGACTATGTCACTGGGAAGATACTCTGTGGTTATCTTGCTTCTGCAACTGGAATTACATCACTAAGACCAACAACTGTGAAAATAATGGGTTAGGGGATGGGCATAAAAAACTTCTCTGATATATGAATTCTTAGCGGCCTAGCTGCACAACCAACTGAAATGAAATTTCAGATATTGTTGTTTGACTGTATGTGCTTGATGATAAAACAACAAAGTTCTTATGTTTACTGTTACAGTGAAAATGTTCGGCTGTACATGTCGCCAGCCGATTTCATTGTTTCATAATAGCTACCCGTGCCACCACATAGCCTTAACCACAAGTTTTGTAAGGTTCGAGTATCATGTAGTAACTTCTGTGCTTTTATGAATGAGTTGTGTTAATAAAGTTGATTGTATTAGCAACATGGAGTCATGTCTTGTAGAAACCAACAACGGGACACATCCAAAACTTTTACACTATCCCTTCCATGCAGAATATTATATCCATAATTCTTGGAGGGTTAAATAATGAAACCTAAGTATGATAACTGGAACATTTGGCCAATAATTTTAGCAAAATTAATCTGTCATTGCACATAAAAAATGCCATAGGTTTTGTTGCAAATGCTGAAATGTTTTCCTTTAAGAGTATTTATGTATTAGTTGAAGTGCATGGAAAAGGAAGATATCAATTCCTTACTTTGAATGAAAAACATCCACAGTGAAGAAATGCAAAAAATATTCAGATGCATCTCGAACAGACACATGACAAGAGTATTTTTCTATAGCTCAAGAGAAGGTGCTAGATAACTTGGTTCTGAATGTTTGTAGTTGTTGTTATTGGTGAGATAAATAATAAACACCACCCATCTCAAACACTGCAGAGTAAGAGACTTCACACGCAAACTAAAAATTACGTTTTATAAAAATTACGTTATATAACGATAATCTGCTGTAAGTCTATGGGAGTTTTGACTGCATTTATAAGAAAAATTCAGTTTTATCTATGAAAGCAAAATTAGTATTTGTAATTAATCAACTAATGCTGATCGAAGCTGTCAGCTTCCACTGACGTATGCAGGTTCTGCTATTAATCTGCTTTGAAAATAAGGGGGGGGGGAGCTTCATTTACGTATTTCGGTGTGTAGGGATTGGAAACGTGACGTCTCATTTAAATAGAAGAGCCTTCTCCACGGAAAACACAATTTATTTTTCAATACCACATTTTAATTCTCATAAAACATTGAAAAGGAAAAACAGATAATTAATTCCTAATTAAATGCTATTTCATATACGGCCACTATCTCTTTCCTAGTCTTGGCTATAAAATCAACTGCACACCCATACTGGCATGAATCTAAACAGAAAACTTACTGTCTATTATAACAACAACAAAGAAGTTTAAATTTTCTCTCACTAGTGGAATCCCTGGTGCCATCTAGTGACGTAAAGAAACACTTTAAATGAATACCCAACAATATTGTGCCAAAACAAAATGCAGAAGCTACTTGAATGCAAAGACATTTGCTTGCAATTATCAGCAATGAATTGAAAATAATGCAACCAAATGTGTCTCATTAAACATTAATATGTTATTATATGCAATCTCTTAATTTTGGTCTACTGTTGTAATACAGTGTACTGTAATTAGCAAGGTTGAAACTGTTTTCTGTGACGAATCATAAAAATTATGAATTACAAAAAACTGATTATAATAATGAAATGAATACATATTTTAATTAAATACTAATGATAAAATTCAAAGTACTGTGTTTATCATATCGATATATTTTATTGCTGCTCTTGATAATCTGCTGTAATGCAAATAGTTTCTGCAAAGCTAAGTTTTACAACAGCATGGGTGTTACATGAGAATAAATTGAGATATGGCAAATTCCAAAGTTACTTCTCCTCTTTCTCCCCCTAACAATATTAATGTGCACGACAGAGTAGGGCCAAAGGCTCCACGAACCAAAACCAGCTGATCTACAATACGAGACATATTTCCACACTAAGATACATAACTTCCAGACTTTCTTGTATTCAAGCTTATTTTTCAGATTAAATTTCCAAAAATTATCTGTCATCTTATCACATTACTGTGAATCAGCAAGAGAAGAAGAAGAAAATAAAAATATTTAGGTCATTTATTATTTTATATTTTTATTGCATGAAATGATCAGTTGCTTACTTTCCAAATTTTCAGACCTGCATTTTGAAAATCTGGAAAAGTCATCAAATAAAACTGCACTTAAATCTCATTTTTCACATAGCAGGTTATTTCCTCAGATATATATTTTTAGATGAGAAGACCAATATAAATTTTTTTGAAAAAAAGTGAGAGTTCAATGTTGGAAGACCCTTCTCATAAGAGAATCTGACCCATATTTTTATCACAAGTGATGAACACTCATCTAAGAATCTACTTCAGTCTTCAGAAACAGAATACAAGATGAAACTACTAGTCTATTGTTTTAATCAGAGGATTTTATTATTCACAATAATAAAAAATTATTTTATTTTTGTTTACTAATACAAAAATTAAAAATGGCATGGAAAAAAGTTTATCTTTCAGTACAAGTGTTAGTTTCAGATTATTAAAACGGGAACTAGATATATATTGGGTTGTCTGAAAAGTCATGAAGCATTTTTTCTTTAAAGGTTCTTTATTTATATAAATAACAGTAAGCAGTCATTAGTATATTGCTTCTTTTGTTGGATAACTTTTATCTTTATTTCATTATAATAATTCCTCATTCACAAAAGAACCTAGCTTTATCAGAGAAAAGCTGAACAATGTATTGATATATGGCCTCGTCTGAATTGAATGTTATACCACAAAAGAAATTTTGTGAAAACAAGTGAAAATTTGAAGATACAAGATCAGGTGACATGCATGGCAACATTATTCATCCAAACGACAGTAATTTTTGTTAGTGATCAAACATGTGTGTGGTCTTGTTTCCAAGCTCCTACCAATGAGCCAACAAATCAGTTCGAATGTGTGTTAGCATCAACTAGACAGTTTCAACAAACCCATCTTCCAGAAACTTTCAGAGCTTAATAATCATACAGGAATTGCATTCCATACAAAAATGCAACACCTATTAAGTCTGATCACCTGACAAAAATCATTCAAGTTTGGCTGAAAAGTGTTGCCACATGTATCATACTCTTGATCCCTCAGATTCTTGTGCCGTCAGATTTTCATTTGTTTTGCTCTCTTCAAAATTTCTTTCATGATATAACATTCAATTCAGATGAGACCATAACTCAACACCTTGTTCAACTTTTCAGTGATAAAGCTAGGTTCTTTTGTGAATGAGGAATTACAAAGCTCATTAAAAGAAAGCAAACACGGGCAATATACTATAGATTGCTCTGTTCTTTATATAAATAAAGGTCCTTTCAAGAACATAGGAAAAATGCATCATGATTTTTCAAACAATCAAAAATATTTTACAGTAATTTAAAAAGCATAATTTCAGATATATTATTATGGCCATTCCCATTTTATGCATAGTGGAAAGTGCATATTAATTATTAGTAAAAGGTTATTGCTAAAATTGCTGCACAGAATATAAGTTGATTACAATGAACCATCCTACACATGAAGCAAGTTTACTGCAAATAGCAATTTGACAAAATGTTCATTTAAGGGGTAATTAGAAAGTCTTGAAAAAAGGTTGCATTAAAATCCCAAGTACATTCGTTGCTTTCAAAAAATAACACCACATAGAGTAAAAATGTCCTAAATGCAAATATTTTGCTCAAATCTCTTTCAAAACTATTTATAGTGTTTTTGCTAAAGAGTAAAAATTAATGATGTTTAAGTAATAGGAAATCTTCAAGGTGTTTAAGTAATGGGAAATCTTGGCAATGCTATAGACAAGTGTATTTCCTGCTATAATCTAATGCTGGAAAAACTAACATTGCTGAAATCACTTTCTTGTTCTGTTGTTGCTTATTTACACTGCCAGAATTAGAAGTGCCACTTTCTGACCCACTAAATTTTATGTCAAACTCTTCATTATTCTCCATACTACAAAATCAAAAAGAAAAAAGGCAGACCATACCAAGGGTAAGCACATGGCCATTAGAACTACTAACTTTGACTTCTTTAGAACACTTCATGTATCTGCAAAAACTGATCAAAGTAAACATCCTGTGTCATCTTGCAGCAACATTTGTAACAAACGCAATGCAACAAATTTACTCAGAGTAGAAATTTATAAACAAGATGTTGTCAAGATATACAATCATTCTCAAGCTTTTAAGTTAAGGAATTAAAACATAAGAAAGCTCAAATTTAAAGCAGTAAATATTTTACAATTAAAGACTGTACAAAATTGAATGAATTACAACTTTCTGGCAATAACCTCACACAAAATTTGCAAAACAGGTGGTTTTTAAATTTACTTTGGAGAGAAATGATATTTTCACAATTTGCAATAATTTTTTTTTTTTGGGAACACACAAAACTGGCATCACTAATACAGATCAACATCAGAGATTAGTTTTATATTGTTAACTGCTTTAAAATACACACAAAGCAGGCTAAGTATTGAAAATGACATGCAGTTCTACCATAATAACATAAGCCTAACCACTGTTGAACTGCAGATGTAACTATCTCACTGATTAACCAGTTTTAGTTACATATATATATATATATATTTGTTCAGGTGCTTAATTTTTTTTTTCATTTCATGATGAATAACAATTCATGAATCTGGAATTTAACACTTAAATTTATATATAAGATAAATATTACGAAGGAGAAAATGAATTAAATTATAATCTTTTCCACGCAGAGCAAGAAGATGAAAAACTTCAGAAAATGATTTACATTTGGTTTACTGTTACCTAAATGTTTAGCTTTTTATACTACACTTTTCTTTTAATTTATAATTGCAAGTTTTGATAACTTGGATTTTTCTGCTTTAAACCAGCATGTATCATTGAATTAAATACAGTCAATTTCTGCTAATTTTTAATATATTTACCTTCTTATATTAGTATCTTTTTATCTATAGCAGCTCAATGTTTATAAAGTATCTCTATTATGTTTTGTAAAAAGTATTTAAATTTTAGTTTTTGTTTGCTTTTTTTCCTATAGTTTTATCTAGTTATATAAGGAGTATCCCAATTATATGCATATTTTCACTGATGCAACATAAAGCATAAACTATTCGTCACTTCCATAGCCATATATAAAGGGTCTTCCCTTAAGAACGAAATGATTTTAAAATAAAATAAATTAAAAACTGTCAGATAAAATCAAATTTTTTATTTATTTTGCATATAGCATTATTTAGATGTCCACCTTGACTTAGTGCACATGAAAGAGTTCGACAAATCCAGTGTTTGATGAAACTATGCAATAACTCAGGGTTAAATGCAGCAATCGATGTTTATTTTTAGTGCTTCAAAGATTCATGGTTTATTCGCAACAACTACCGATTTCAAATAATCTCCAAAAAGTAATAATGTGTTATATTTTGGGAATGAAGCATGCATTCAGCGATGATGAATTTTCAGAGCACATAAACATGAATAAACATTAGTGACAGCAATCGCATTTTAAACATGGTTATCATTTCATTTAAAATTAAGAAGTACTTTTTACTTAAATATACTCATCAAAAAGCTATTATGTTAATGTATAAAGGAGATGTGTTAGCTACCTGATATTACATTCAAACATGTGCTTCAATTTTTTGGTTCAAACTAGCTTTAATATTGTTTATACATAGTAATTATAATGAATCAATCAGGTTTTGCTTTGTAAAAGTTAATGGAAACCATCTGTAAATATTCTACAAATTTTTATTATATGAACTTTACAAAATATGTAAAACATGATGTCAGCTTAATAGTAGCTCTGCAGCCATTTGTGTGGTTTGGACATTAAATAATAAACTTTCATTTAATAGCACTTGATATGAGAAGCAAGAAACTTGTTAAAAAAAAATAATTTGAAGCTAGCATATTTAATAACTCCCAAAATGAAGCAATGGGGTAACAGCTATTTATAGGCAGCAACCAAATAAATACTTCAATTAGTTTGGAAGTAAATCATCAAAACTAAATACACAATGTTCAAAATTAGTCCCAGGTTTTAAAACTTTAAAAAAAAAAAAAAAAAAAAAAAAAAAAAACTTTACTTCATTTGTGTAAGAGTGGTTTTTGAAAATTAGTTTTTTACAATATGAGTTGTAAGTGATTAATCTTACTATGCAGAATTATTTAAATATTAAATGCAATAGAGCATGTGCAGGGCAATGCAGCTGTACATTTATTAGTTAAAAATAATAATTACAGCTTCTAGCAAGCAGCATGGGAAGAAACCTCATAATTTAGTAAATATTACAAATTTGAAATATACACACATCAGTTAGTTTTCTTTCACTGATGAATAATAAATTACTAAGTTCAAGATGACATTCGTTCATAAAAGTATAAGTAAGCTAAATCTTTTGGAGGATGTTCAGACAAGGCCACTTTATTATCATTGTAAATAACCCAACGGCCTTCTTTAAGAATATGACACACATAATGTCCAGCAACAGTTGACGTTCCCATATGACTGATGAATGCAACCAGCCTATATTCTGGGGGGGGAAGAATAATTAATGCTCCAAACAACAAAAATATACAATATTTCATTTAATTGATTCAAAAATATATTATACTATAATCATATTACTTTCTACAACTTCAAAAGAAATACATAATAAATACAAAATGCGCAAATGAAAGATGATACACACATATTTAAATATACTTATAATTGTAACAAAAAAAATCAAAATATAAAATACCAAATAAATAAAATTTACCAATTTATTAGTCATGTGAAAAAACAGCAACCATAATGTCTAAATACACTGACTACCAATAAGTATTTGGACACCTGTGATAGGAAAAAACCTAACTTTATTCAAAATCAATAGTTGGTAGAGCCTTCCCGAGAGGTATTTACAGCGTGGACCGTCCGGGGCATACTTTCCACAAGTCTTTGTATGACAGCTAGTGGTATTTTCTTCCACTCAGCTTGGAGAAGACATAGAAGTTCCTTCACCGATTTTGCAAGGGTAGTGCACCCCTGAATTCGGCGATGCAACTCATCCCAGAGGTTCTCAATAGGGTTCAGGTCTGGACTCTGGGCAGGCCAGTCCATTCGATAAACTCCATTGGCACCATATCAAGCCTTGGTTAACATCGAAACATGACAACTGGCATTGTCGTCCTGAAAGTAACAGGGGTCCAACCCCGTAAAACTGCCACAAAGTAGGAAGCACATTGCCATCCAAAATAGTGCAGTAGGCATCAGAGTTGAGCTTACCATGAATGGGGACCAAGGGTCCCAGCCCATATAAGGAGAAACAACCCCAGACCATAATTCCACCTTCACCGAACTTGACTGTTGGCACAATGCATTCTGGCAGGAGACGTTCTCCAGGTAGACGCCAAACCCAGACCCTGCCATCCGAACGCTAAAGGGTGAACCTTGATTCGTCACTCCAAAAAACCCGTTTCCACTGATCTACGGTCCAATTTCGATGTGCTTTGCACCACATTAACCGAGCAGTGTGGTTGGACTTAGTGATCAAAGGCTTATGGGCAGCAGCACAACCATGAAAACCAAGCAGATGTTCTTCCTTATGGATGGTATTCATTGAAACAATACTCCCAGATGCCTGTTGAAACTCCTCGCGGATGAGGGCTATCAGTTGGGTGCAGTTCTTCCGAATTTCTCTGAATAGCACTCATCGGTCTCTATCCCCCAGTTTCATTGGTCTGCCGACTCGGGGCACATTCCGACAATCACCCCCTCACCTTCCACTTCTTAATCACATAGGCCACTGTCGATATTAGGTACTTCAGATCGCTAGATATGTCCCTTAAGGATTGGCCACATTTGTGATACCCGATAATTATACCTTTCCCGAAATCAGAGAGCTCCGAACTGCAAGGCATCTTGCATGCGACTAAAGCCGATGCTTTTCCTACACGATATATACCGACGTAATCCGTGGCGTACCTTGGGCCCACAGATATCATCATTTGCATAGGTGTCCAAATACTTATTGGTAGTCAGTGTATTTTAAAAGCAAGTACTAAAATTTCCTTAAAAAAAAATCTCACAAATGAAACGCTATTTACGAAAAAAATCAACATGGTGATACTGAATTTTCATTTTAAAGAACTAATAAAAATAACTCTTACTTTCTACTCCATCCCGATATTGAGCTTTTACTGGCACTTCAGCTTCAGGAGAATCTGTCTCCATTTCTTCAGCGTGACTAAATATCCAATCAATAGCTCTTTCCAAATCATTATTCTAAAATATGAATTTTTGTTATATTAACTATATATTTTTATCCTTAAAATTAACATATAGTTTGAATATGTTCATGCATCCAAGAAAACCACTGAATTTTGTGATTATACTTGACTGCACAATCAGTTTTTAATTTATTTAAAAATATTCATATGTAGTGCAGTTCTTGCAGGAAAACTTTTAATTGCTTACAAATTACTTTCAGTACAAATTTTACTTCTTTTTTTATTTTTATTTTATTCAAATTTACAGCATGCTGATACCTAAAAATTTTTATTTAAATAGAGAAGCATAAAACATAAAATGAGATTTTACTGTTTAAATGAAGGAAAAAAACTTACAATTAATTTTTAAAGATGATGTTAATAATCACAGAAAGAATAATAAGAAGTAATAACTAAGGAAAATGACCAGTAATTTTCAGAACAAATATTAGCACTGAAGATCAATTCTAGAAAATGATCATGAAAGTTCAAAATCATCTGAAACTGAGAGTGACCATTTTAGAAAGGAATCGCTGTGCATTTATAATTCCATTTCAGTTAAATTGCTTTGCTAATAAGAAAGGAAAGGAAAAAAATATCCTCTGGTAGCATATTAATTATTATGATTCACAAGATTTGTATATCCATTTACATGCTCTCGTTGTTCCTTTATTTGCTTTGGTGAGGCTATTTTAACTCTAATTCCTTTATTTAGACTTCACCAAATCATTATTATTTCAAGCACGATAATTTGTTTTTACATCCTAAAGCACATATATACACTCATACAAAGGAAGATAAGATCAATTTATGTGTGTGTGTGTGTGTGTGCACGTGATTATGGCAAAGCATTGAGGGCTACCTGCCTAAGGGAAGGGATGCCTTTATGGAGGACTTTCTAAGAGAAACTGGCTTGTCTACACGTTACACATGGGGAAAGCCATGAAAACTCACATTCAGCCAGCCCGTTCGCGAGATTCGAACCTCAGACCGAACTACCAGTGTTCAGCGACTTTAGCGATAAGATCAAAGTATCGTTTATTAATAACTTTCCACTTTTTGCTAAAGCTAATGAAAGAACCAATAAAAAATTACAGTAAATTTCTGGAATTATGTATTCAGTTTATTACACAATCTTACTCAACTAGGTGTCCATCAGTTTATTTAGATCAAATGTTAAAATTAATTTTTGATCCCTTCAATAGATCAGATATTCTCAAACATTTTCATACAACACAAAAATACAACATTCGCATTGAAGAATAAAATGTGTACATGATTAGAATGATGTTAAAAATAAAATGCTCTACGTTGACAAGTTGAAAACTCGTTTTAAACAGAAGTAAAAATAACATGCAATTATCATGTTATTGAAAGTCTCTTGATCTCTTTTTTAAACTTTCACAAATGCCAGTGACTATATGTTTAAGAAAGCGGGCATTTGTGGAGAGTTTTCTTAAGAAAATTGACTCATATAAATCACACAGTAAATCAGAGAGACACCATAAGAAACAGATTCTGGCAGGAATTGAAGGCAGAACAAAACTATCAACTTTCTTTAGCTTTACCTACTTAGTCACTTCTCAGATAGGCAGCAATGGTAAAAGTCAAAAATCAACCATAAAATTATACGCTTCTCATTTCACTCTTACAACAAAAAATTCTGACTATTTAACATAGAACAGCAAACTGAATCTGATTAAATTTATAAGTTGCAAATAATTATAAGTTTTGATACCTTTTTTTATCACATACTACCAAATGTCAAAATATTAAATTTAAATTACCGTTGCTTCTAAAGCTTTTGTAGCTTGTGCAGGGACAAAACCCATGGAAACAATGGTTGATACAGCTTCTGGATTAGGTGTAAAATCTGGATTAATTTTCTTTGACCCAGGTATGCAAAAAGGATCTGTGAAATCTAGAAAATAAAATAAAGCATAAATAGCAATTATAATGGCAATGAAACTCGATATACAGCAATGTCTCCTGTAACAAACACAACCCATGGCATTCATTATGTAGGATACTGTTTTATTAAGTTACTATACAAATATTATTTTCTCTTGCGCTTGTCACTATACAAAAGTAATGAAGCACTGCCAACCGCCCCTCCCCCCAAAAAATACCATCCCTATACAAAATCACAAAAATAGTGATAACTCCCTCAAAAATAAGCCAAACCGTGTAAAATTTGAATATGTTGCCAAGTAAGAGTACCTGAGTAAAACTCCAATATGCAAATTAGTGGCGCTGCACTCGGAATACGTCACCTGCGAGGAGCATAAAAGTCCATGTTTGAGAGCAAGTTCACATATTTCACTGTGATAGTGACATCAGAAATCAGATAACCAATTCATAACAATGATCTCCAGGTATCATTTGCCTGCAGAACTACGACAGAAAGCGATTGGGATACTAGAGGCAGGACAAAGTCAAACAGAAGTGGCCAGATGGCTAAATGTGAGTTCTTCTGTGGTTCATTGACTTTGGAGGCAATTTCAAATTACAGATTCGGCACCTAGGAGGTTCAGCTAAGGACGGCCAACTGCTACGACGAGTGCTGATGCCCAATATTTGACATTATGTGTACTCAAGAATAGAACCGCTACTCCGACTCTTCTTAGATCCTCCCTTGCTGCAGCCACTGGAAGGTTGGTGTCAACATCAACTGTGCATAGAAGGCCTCATGAAGGTGGTCTGTATGCGAGGCGAACAACCATTTGCGTGCTGCTCAAGTCACGCCATAGGACGAACCATTTGCAGTGGGCACGACATGTCCACTGGATGCCTGAGCAATGGAGGGCTATTCTCTGGAATGCAATAGTAGGCATTATTTGATATTGAGAGAACCTGGAAACCGTTATCATTCGTCACACATCTGTGAAAGAGATGCATACGGAACAGGCAGTGTCCGTGTTTGGGGTGGCATCTCTTTGGGTAACGCACAGACCTACATGTTTTTCCAAGGGAAACCGTGAATGCTCACGTTTATAGCAATGACATCCTTGATGCTTATGTGCGCCCATATAACGGGGCAATAGGTGATGCTTTCCTGTTACAGGACGACAATGCAAGACCACACAGAGCTCGCATTTTATATGATTATCTTCAACAGGAAACAATTATGCGCATGGAGTGGGAAGCTTGATCCCCGGACTTGAATTATCGAGCATGTTTGGGATGCTTTAGGGAGAGGTGTAGCTGCTCTCAATCCGCCCCCTTAGACCCTTGCCGCGCTTGCAACTGCTTTGCAAGAGCAATGGCTCTCGCTTCCTATGAAACTGATAGACCGCATAATTGAAAGCATCACACATCGCTGAATGTGCTGTATTGCTTCTAAAGGTGATTATATTCCATATTGAAGGTACTTTTACTGTAGCAAACTGACATTTTCGATTTGTTCATTTTATACATGTGCTAATTTCTATACTACCATAATTGTCTGGTAATTTATTTTTATGTTATTTGATACCTTACTATCTGTTGTATATTATGAGTAAGTTTCATAAAATTCTACATGTAACTTTTTCAGTAATTGTGATTTTTCCTTAATTTATGATAACCAGTGTATATGCAATATTAAAATTTGAACAATAAATTAAAGTTCTTATATCACTTGGAATAGTACCATTTCACAGAACTAGTAATTTGCTAAGTATGATTAAAAGACTAAACAACATAATTTTTACTTCTAGGCCTTGTGCATGATTAAGTAAGATGATAGCAATTTAGCAGTGCAATGAATGTAACATGATATGAAAAATGAAAAGACTAAATTATATAAAGTTTTTATGCAAATATACTCCTTTTATATTTTTGAAAGCATTTTCATTACAAAAATAATCTCAAAATCTGTACTACTATTCTGAAAAACAAATCTATATATATACATATATATAAATTTCATATATTGTGTATATATATATATTATACACACACAATATATTAAATTTCTTAGAAATATGCAAACCAGTTATATGAAATTGTACAAAAATGAACATTAAGAAAAGAGGGAAACTAAATAAATAAAAATAAAATGAGAGAAATTTTAAAGATTTTACGACATACCTTCCACTTATCTGTTTAATATATTGAAGGACACCTAATGAGATGCCTATTTTTAAACGTTTTTAATATTTACCGTATTCCTTCATGCAAGATCAATGATATATAACACAAGTTTCTGTCTATTCTAACAGCGATTTTTAACAGTCTTTTGATTGCTTTTTTGCTTAATTTTAAGTAGTTCCTAACAGGATACTTTTTCCACAAACAAGGTCCAAGCTTACATGTAGACTTTATGAGGCTCTTAGCCGTCTAATCGGCTTCGCTCCCGGAGCAGAGAGTATATGGTTTCTGCCAGGAAGATAACACACTGTGAGGTTAAGGCCAGGTCAGTGGTCTTCCTTGGTGGCACTTACTCAATCACCCACATTTCATACGATACACATTATAAACAACAAAAATAAAGTACCTTCATCATTCATATGTTCCATGACCCAATTCATGGCTGCTTCAATTCCTTCATTTTGTGTATAGTAAAGAGCTCTTTTGCAACCATCAAGAGGAAATCCCATATCAGATAACTGATACAATAATGCTTCATTATACACAAATTCTGAAACAAATGAAACAAATATACCCACATAAAAGAAACAGAATGAAAATAATAATATAAGTTTTTTTTACAATTATTATTAAGTGGCTAAAAATTTCATATTCATTTCAAATGCTTTAAAAAAATGTAGTGAAACCTTGAATTGTGAGTAACTTGTTTGCTGTAACTATTTTTCAAATTGAGTACAAATTTTTTATAAATTTTAACCCAGAAAATTTAAACATTATACATAGTGATTTTGTATTGGCTCACAAAAAATAGTTAATCACATGCCAACTGAGCTGATTCAAAACAAGAACATATTTCAAACATAAAATTAATTTAGCACTTTTAACAACAGCCTAGAAAATTTATAATTGTGGCTTGAATCAAAATTATGCAGCACCCAGATAACAAAACACATTATCTCATTACAGAACAAAACTGGTTAATATATGTATTTGATGTTACATGAGACATGGATTACACAGAAATCAAGAAATAATGCCATTAGTAAATTTTAATTTTAAAACTAACAAAAGAAAGCTTAATCAATATTTGAAAAAATTTGGACAATACCAATGATTAAAACTCATATTCCAAGTTTAAAAACTTCATTATTAAAACAAATGAAATAAAAATATAGTTTAAAACATACCAATGAAAAATGTTTTTATACAAAGTACTTTGATTAAATGTATATATAAAGACATCATTTCAGACTTGATAAAATTTTCAGTTTAGTTAATATTTTTATTATTATGTACCTTCTTTTATTGAATTGAGAAAGCTTAACATTTTCAGTCAATAAGCAGCTTCTGCAGTTAAATCCTCATATTTGCATCTGTATTATTTACAATTACAAAGTAAAGTAAAAAACATTTTTAATATCTTGGAATTTCAAGAAGACTTCTTTATTATAATAATGATTAAAAAATGAATAATAATAATAAAAAAAATTGTCCCTTTTTCAGATTTCCTAGAAATTAGAAAAAGATAAAATTACATACAATGCATTAATACTGAACTACTCTTCTATGTTAAAAAATGAGGCAAAGTAAAATAACATTTTGAAAAAGGTCTTGTACATGGCAATTTCAAATCTTTGTAATGTAATGGTTTCCCGATGGTAATTTTAGATCAAAATATTTCAGATATGGACAAAATCTGTGTGAGTGGTAATGATCTAGAAAATTTGAATACAGGTTTCTAATTGGAAAATTTACAATTGAAAACTGCATTCTTCTGTTATGAAATTTAAACTTGTTTTCTGTAACTAATTAAACAGGAATTTAAAACACAATCGGTCATTTTGAAATGATTTAATACAACTGGGAAGAAAAAGTTATGATAAACTGCTATGAAAATATTCTTGTACGTATAAATTATGTGGAGTTCTAGAAATACATAGTGCTAGGGTCTATATTATTGAAATGATATCATGCTTTAGTGCATTTATTTAGAACATAATAAACTTTTAGAATGTTCACTACTGATACTTATTTATGTTCTAAAAATTTTTGTTTTACTTTCAGATTTAACATGGTCATTGGTTTCTCTGCATTTTGTATTCTATATAATCTGATGCATACATAATTCTTTTTAATTTCATTTTTTAAAATTTGTCTACAAGTAACTACTTAAATTTAAAATACATCTGGTATTTAAACCAGTTTTGAATTAAGCTTGTTCAATTTGAAATTTATACTCTTAGCTCAACAGCGATGATATTTCATCCACATAAACAATAACTGTTTTGTTTCCTTCCATATTATTTTACCGCATAACCATTACCTCAATTCTGGCTCAAGACTTACTAGAAGCAGCATTAGAATTGCTGATTCAAAGCAACATTAGTATTGCTCCTTACTGTATGCCATGACCCTAAAAATCTAGCAAAAACTAAAATATCATAATGGACCACTGATGATTGGGAATGAGTAGCATGGAGTAATAAGTCTCGATTTCGAATGACTGAAGATTTTAGCGAGAGCCACATGAAACCATGCACCTAGCATGACATTTTGAAACTATGAAAAATCACAGCTATTGTGCAGATCTCCTGGGTGACCACATGCATCCCTTCAATTTTTTCTGCCCTATGGATGAAATTGGAGTACACCAACATGATAACTGCTTCTATCACAGATCTTGGTTGACTATCATGTGGTTCGAGAAGCATTCTGCTGAATTTTCTTGCTGAAATAGCCATTGAAGAGCCCTGACTATAATCCCATTGAGTACATGTGCACCACTCTTGAAAATGATTATTGTTGATCACCATTTCTCATAACTGATCTATAGGAAATAAATTTTAGAAGGTGCTTGACAGAATATCTCAGGAGCATTTCCATAGACTTGTTAAATGTCAAGAAAAAGCACTTAAAATGACATGTGAAACAAATGCAAGAATTTGGGCAGTTTCACATATGATTATTATTACTGCAGTTTAAATAGAATGAGACAGTTATCACATTTCTCTTTCCAAGTTGCTACTTTAAAAATATAAACTCAGTAATAATTATTTCTAAATAATATATTTTTTAGCTTTGGTTATTAGTTATTATTAAACATTAGTATATAAAGGCTAACTTAGATGTACTAATTCACTATATTTCATTTTACAAACTAAGGAAAAACAGTGATTTTACATAGAAATGAACTAGGATTTGCTTAGCATTAACAGTTCAGACTAATCCATTCTACAAAGTGGAAAGAAGAAGGCAGACAAATTATTAACTTCATTTAAACAACCCAACAAGAGTTTTAACATTACTTAAAATATACTTCAACTTTTATTTATACTACTGGCATCACAAGGAAAATATCCTGATAGCATTCTTTCCATTATTATATACATTCAGCCTTGTTTTATTATGAATGGCATTTTTTATTAGAAAATTAGTTACTAGATAAAATTATTATAGTAATAAAAATTTAATGAGTAAAATATCAGTTTCAGGCTCCTCCATTCACTAAGAGGTACTAGAAAAGGGTAGAAATTGATGAAGAATTTCTTACACATACAATTAGTAGCCCTCTACACAAAACTCATGGGCAACAATTTAGTTTTTGCTAAGTGAAGCTAATTTTATGGCAATGCCAAATCTTAATAGCATTTTCTTCTCAGGCATCAGAAGATTTACAATTAAATAAATAAATAATAATAATAAAATAAATGAAATTTAAAGAAGAATAAAATTTTAAGAATTTAAAATGATAAATAAGGAGAAAATAAAGAAGATTGTGTTCTAGCAACAATGCCACAGACTTTAACATCCTAGCTTCCTAAGAATGACAAATATTTTATCTACAGGAAAGTTAGTGATAAAGCGGTTCAGAATTTTACTCAAATCATTAAATATAATAAAATATTTTAAAGCTTACAATACTATGTTTACTCGTGTAATAGTCGCACCCAGTTTTAAAGCAGAAAATCGGCAAAAAAGTACGATATTCTGTAGTACATTTTCCCGCATAACAGTCACACCTAGACTTTCACAATGAAAAATAGGCAAAAAAAAAAAGGCTACTGTTATGCGAGTAAACATGGCATATTTATAATATTATATAATAAACATTTTCTCTGTATCTTTAGCTTTTCTGCACTTTTTTAATACAGAAATAGCTAGATATAATTTCTTTTAGTAATTTGCACAGCCCTGAAATATACGAGATGTATTCAGAAACTAAGTATAATTTTGAAAAAAAAAAAAAAAAAAAAAAAAAGTAAACAATTTTTTCGAATCCAATTTTATTTTTACATGAAAATACATGTCTTAAACTATTTTTCAACATAGTTTCCGCCAATGATCAAACACTTGTCATAGCGGATGACCAGTTTTTGTATACCATCGTCAAAGAAACTTCCCACCAGTTTCGATAACCACGACTCCACAGCATTTTTCGTGTCATCGTCAGATCCAAAGCGCTTGCCACCAAGCTCGCGCTTCATGTGCAGGAACAAGTGATAGTCGGACGGCGCCAAGTCCGGGCTGTATGGCGGGTGATCGAACTGCTCCCAATGAAACTGTCGAATTAACGATTGAGTGACACCAGCAGTATGGGGCCGAGCATTGTCATGGAGCAACACAATTCCTTTACTGAGCATTCCTATTCGTTTGTTTTGAATGGCACGCCTTAGTTTTGTTAAAGTCTCACAATATCGTGCCGCATTAATGGTTTCACCTCTAGGAAGAAATTCAGTATGCAAAACGCCTTTCCCATCTCAGAAGACAGTGCACATGATTTTTTGTGATGACATTGTCACTTTGAACTTTTGTTTTTGCGGAGAATGAGTGTGTCTCCACTCCATCGATTGATGTTTCGATTCTGGTGTGAAATGACACACCCAAGTTTCATCACCTGTCACAATTTGGTTTAAAAAGTTTTCTCCCTCATCACTGTACCGCGTGAGAAATGTCAGGGCACTACCAAGTCGCTTTGTTTTGTGAACATCAGTGAGCATTTTTGGAACCCATCGAGAACACAGTTTGGCAGTGGTGATAATTCAAGCGGTCAGACACAATTTCGAACAAAACAGTACGTGAAATTTCTTGAAATGCCTCTGAAAGAGTTGTCATTGTGAAGCGTCTGTTCTCATGAATTGCTTCATCAACTTTCCTTACCAAATCATCGGTGACAACAGAAGGCCGACCACTTCGAGCCTCGGCGTGGACATTTGTTTGACCTGCATTAAACATTCTTAGCCACTTTCTCACCATTCCATCACTTATCGTGTATTCACCATAAACTTCTGTTACTTGACGATAAATTTTGGCCAGTTTAACATTCCTCGCGTTCAAAAATTTAATCACGGCATGAATCTCACAGTCAGTGGGGGAACTAATTGTCTTAAACATTTTGAATGTGCACAGCAAACTGAAAACACAACATAGAGCAACCAAAATGGCAACAATTGAAAGTCAGTGAACAAGAAAGACTAGTGCACATGCGCGGGACACCTACCACAGCGCTAGAATGAAACAGTACTTAGTTTCCGAATATGCTATGTACCTTTCAAAAACATACAGCATATTGTCGCAAATTCCTGTAAATAAAATATTATTAGAAAATGGTGTTTATAGCACTTAAAAAGTTTGACAGAAGAATTAAGTTGCTGTGTTTTACAATCTGAGCAAATGCTCATATAAGCAATCAACTACAATCTCTTCACTGCAACCACTACAAAGTTTCACTTTCAATAACCACCAGTGGTATTCAGAAGTTTCTGTACGTGTACTACAGTCAAAAGTCGTTAATTCGGACACCCATAATTCGGACCTCAAAACTAAAAACTTTCTGCGCATGCGCCGCGTTGACACATGTGCATAGGCGTTTACGCGTAAGACCTTTTACGACTGCGCATGTGAGCGTGCGCAAGTGCAGAATACGTTTTCGCGTGCGCGTTTTATGTATAATGGACGTATAAGCTAAAATTATCTAATTATCTATTTCAGTTAATGTTGATGATTGCGTTGTTCCTTAATCTTCGAATTGGATCCGGCTTATTATTTTTTGCAGACTGTAAGAGCAATTTTATAAAAGTAAGTTTAAACTTTCGATTATATCAAATAGAATTTCCGATATGTATTTGTTAATATGTAAAGGATCTAAAGTGAAAGTATGTTTTGAAATCCGAAATCTGTTTATCAATTTCACGCTGCTCGGCGGGGGAAACGCCGCGGCGGGCCGCGTAATGAATTTGAAGTTGATCTGTCAGCACTATCCTTATCTTCAGCGCAGATGTTTTTATTTTATTTGGCTTATAATTCCTTACCAAATGTAGTATTTCATTTCGATATGCTCCCTCTTTGATATGATTTAAAACAAGTTCCTCGTCATTATAATTCGCTTCCGATAGCGAAGAAAAGTGACAGAGGTTATTGAAAACGAAAAAATTTCGATTGACAAATTAGTCGGTGTTCTCGACACAGCAATTATAGGTCTTGAACAGCGGAACTTTGTAACTGAACAAGAAATTATGTCTGCTCAATAGAATTAAAGAGAAAGTATTATCATATGAAACAAAGCAAAACTTAAACAACTTACATTGAAAGAAATGTTTAATAAAGTAAACAAATAAATATTAAGCTTTTTCTTTTTGCAAATTTTGATACCCTTTAGATCGTAATTGATCTTTATTTCATAAATTACGGTTTCATATTTTTAATTTTAGAATTTCTGCATGCCATCTTACGAGATTTAAACTGATGATCTATAATCCGGAAAAATGGATAATCCGGAATCGCTGAAGTCCCGACGAGTCCGGATTAACGACTTTCGACCGTACTTGTAGGATCCCAAAATATCTACTGATCTAGCATTTTCTAGACAGAAATCTAAAATCTTGACTTTGGTGGGAACATGACCCGCATGCCTTTATAATTCAGCTGCAGATGCATTTTTCATCTCTAAGTTTGAATTCATAAAATTTTACTCAGCAATTCACAACTAGTCTTTTCAAAATGCATTTGATTCACCATTTTATCCATTATTAGCTTACAACAATAAAAGTGGCAATAATTTGCTGTTTTTTTCAGATCATATCTAACCATTTATAGTGCTCAGCAATATATTTCCACAAGTTTTTTTTCTTTTGTGTATGTGGAGTGTATAACATCAACATACTCTGACTTAACAGAATTAAGAGTAGGTTTTCACCGTACGTACCTTCCGCAGATCTGTCTGCACCTGATTCTGGCAATTCTTCTTCACCTGGCTGAATGCCTCTGCCACGAAGCGTAGGTAAGTCTAGCACTTCAGGTACATCAATTGAAACATCTTTAATCAGAAAGAAAAAAATAAATGAGAACTTTGATGAATTCAATTTTGTATGAACTGACGTATACATACATATGTTTTCAATTCTTTGGATAATGTTCTCTTTGTTTAACACTCTGTGTATGACACAATTTGGACACATTCTGGTTCTGAAATACTTTGCGTTTTTTTTTATATTCTCTATCTTCATATATTACTATTCACATCTTTATAAACAAAATTAGCATAATGCAAAAATTTTAATGGTTTTTTTCCTCTTAGTTTTAAAAAACACATGTACGCTATTTTCATGTGACCCATTACAAGATGGATTTCGCATCCAGTGGAAACTACGGTAGATGTATGCAAAGGATTAAAGGTAAAATTTTGATTCGAATTTTTCAGCGAAAGTATTTCACTATTGTTTTCAATTCTTTGAATGGATTTAGTTCTCTTCATTTAAAGGAGAATTTTGATTAGAATTTACTTTGTTTTTCCTTGCTTTGAGGAGGGGTCAGAATTTTCGGGTGACCTATTATAATTAAAAAACATAGAAATGGTTCATCGGCTAATTCTGGATACAGAAAAGCAAGCATTTTTGTGGAAAAGAGATTTTAGCGTTCTTCCTCCTGGTGAAGTGGCATTGAAATTGATTGAATTCCTCTTCCATTATGTTCTTTTTCTTTAAATTTCGTTGATTTTTTTAATTGGGGTATTGCTTGTTTGAAGTGTTTTAATTTTAATATTTATTAAATTCTTTTTTGCATTTATAGGACTATTTGAAATTTATTACTTAAGTATTTCAGTTTTGGTCTTCGAAAATTGGTCCTAAATTTTTTACTTTATGTCTTTATTGAAAATTTTTTCAGCAGTTTAATGCCCAAAAATACTAGGCTTTTTTGAAAAAATTGTTTAGCCATAGAGTAAAAAAAAAAAAAAAAAAAAAAAAAAAAAAAAAAAAAAGAGGGGTGTAAAAATTGTAGAGTTTATCCATTCTATAAGTACATAAACTTCCAACTATCTCTCAGTAGATTATTCAAAGAATGATTTGAGATATTCTGGAAGAAATTTAAAATTTTCAATACAATTAATCTCACTGCAAGGCTTAGAGGTTAGATTATTTGAATATGGCGAAGCCATGAGGACCAAGAAGTGGGTTGCCTTTGCAGAAGATTTTCTAAGGAATGCTGGCTAGTAATCATGTGCTTTGTCTTTCCCTTCACCCCCCCTTTTTTTTTTAAAGTTTGGTTATGTTGTTTTTGTATACTAATTCAGACCTTATTTTAACCTGTAACTTAGCCTGATAAGTTTCAAAATAAATCTAGAAAGACAACCTGTTTTTAATGTCTTCCATTCCGAGAGTTCAGCGATGTCACACATATTTGCTGGTGACAAAAATCAAGAATTTTTCAGTACTGGGCTAGGTACAAGGAAGTTGTGAAGTATTTCACAAACTTTTTTTTTAAAGGGAGAGATTCATATTTTTAACACCTTTTCAGTTTATGAGTTGCCATCTCATGTTAAGGGTATTTGTTTCATTTGTACATATTTTTTCAGTTTTTCTTTTATTAAAAATTATAGAAATAAAATAAATATGCTATACGTGTAATAGAAATCCTACTTTACTTCTACATAAAATTCTCTCTTTCTTTCACTAATTTTAAGCCGGCAGTACTGCAACATAATAAGGCACATTAAGCATAGTTCACATGGTGATTTTAAAATCATACCAGGTCTAAGCCTAGCTTCATTGCTAAACAATTAGACCGTGATATATCACAATAATTGGTTTAAGGTTTTTGTCTAAATGTTCTAACTTTCTGACTTTATGACAACGTGATAAAAGAACCACTTACATGTTGTCTTTCTAGATTTATTTTGAAACTTATCAGGCTAAGTTCCATGTTATAATAAGGTCTGAATTAGTATACAAAAACAATATAACCAAACTTAAAAAAAAAAAAAAAAAAAAAAAAAAAAAAAAAAAAAAAAAAAAAAAAAGAGAGAGAGAGAGAGAGAGAGGAGAGGAGAGGGGGGGGGAAGGGAAAGACAAAGCAGTGAATACTAGCCAGCATTCCTTAGAAAATCTTCTGCAAAGGCAACCCACTTTTTAGCCCTCATGACTTTGCCATATTTAAATAATCTAACCTCTAACCTCTGCAGTGAGATTAATTGTATTGAAAACTTTAAATTTCTTCCAGAATATCTCAAATCAATCATTCTTTAAATAATCTACTGAGAGATAGTTGGAAGTTCATGTATTTATAGAATGGATATACTTAGTCTAGAATTTTTACATTCTTTTTTCCCTATGGCTATATGTATATAATTCCAAACAATTAAAAAAAAAGTAATCATGCCTAGTATTTTCATGCATTTAGCTGCTGAAAAAATTATCACGAAAGACATAAAGTAAGAAATTTAGAACCAATTTTTCCAAGATAACTTTTTGAATGTACTTCAACATTTTAATATCATAAACCACAAAACTTTATGACAACAAAATCTTTCTCTGAACAATGCCTTATGTAGAAAGGCCTAATTGCTGAATATTTTTATTCTGTTGCTAATATAAATAAAAAATGAAAGCAATTTTTTTTAACATTTTAGCATTCTACAAACAAATTTTCTTCAATTATAATGGAAACTTAGAATGTGATTTTTAGTCCTTTAATACACATCTGTTTAATGAATGCAAGGAACCTTGACAGAAGGTGCAAGTCCCTGCTAATTAAACATTATAGTCTACATCAGCAATTCTCAACCGGTGGTAAACAAGAGAAAAATATGTGGTACGCAAAGAGGCAAAGTATTTTTAACTATTAAATTCAAAAATCTCACGATGAAAAAGAAGAATTGATAGAAATTTCCTGTGATCAAACTCTAACTGTAGATTTAAAAAATCACACACTCGTTAACTTTTTGGCTGAATAGTAAATTTTTATTCCCTATTTGTGTAAACTGTTATTTTTCCCAACATATTTGCATGAACAAAGATTTTCTTCTATGTTATATTTGAAAAATAAATACAGCACAAAACTGTGGATCCTAACTTGCGGTTGATACTAAGATCAGACAAAGAAATTGATCTCTCTTAAACAGGCCCAAATTTCATGCTAAATTTATAATGAAAATGGTAAACAATTTTTAATCTAATATATTTTATGTGTGCACATTTAATACAAATAGCCAATTGGCTGTGCAAATGGCAAAACATATTTTTTAAAAATATTTCTGTAAAGAAATTGAAAAATAATGATTGTAAAATGTAGTGGCGGTACAAAAGGTTGAGTACTGCTGGTCTAGATCAAGGAAAACTACTATTTACAAATATATTGCATCTGATTAAAAATGGCAAATGTAAAATCACATGAACTAAAAATGTGACACATACTTGAAACTCTATCAACATTTAATGTTTAGTTAAGAGTATCTCTTGAACAATGGAGAAATAATTTTAGTAACAATTTGCAAAAAAAAAAATGTAGGCTTACTTTACATAATATGCTTATGGAAAAAAAGAGGGAGGGAGATTAGGCTAATTCATTTAAGTAAAGCACAAGACTTGAATAAAATACAGTTATTATTTTCATTTGCATATTAATATTACTATTAGTGAATCAGATATTTTTCCAAAGAGAAATATATCCACAATGCATTGAATTAAATAATAATAAAATTAATTTAAATATACAAAATATTACTTCCAAAAAATGCATTAAATTACGATTTCTTTTAAAAAATAATTTCAACCTGTAACTTCAATGAACTATATTTTCAACTTTTATGCAGGTTATTTATTATCATTAATTAGACATTAAATAACAAAAATGATGACAATTTAACAGAATTTTCTTAATGGCTTATGTACTTCAAAAATGGTTTTTTTTTTTTTTTATTATTTTATTTTAAGGTATATATATATATATATATACACACACACACACTATATAGAGAAACAGAGAGAGAGAGGGAAGATAAGAAGTTACGATGTGGTAAGTAAAACTGAAGGCAAGAAAACTATTTCTTTCTGTTTCTTGCACACATTTATAATCAGATTCAAATGATTATTTGTGCAGAACACAAACATAAGATACCTAATTTTTTTGGGACCCAATCATCACCAATCGTAAATTTCTTCAAATGCAACATCAGAAAGTCTGGAAAGGTATGCAGTCGAGTTGTCCTTTAAAATAATTAAAACATTAAAAAAAAAAAAAAAAAATCTAGTGAAATATAAGAAAACTATTACATAAATAAATCAAAATATAACATTATTATACTGAGTGCCTACAAATGGAGCAATTTCTAACATCTGTAACTATAGTATTAGATGTAATTGTTTTAAAGCTGTTTTTTTCTGCCAACTACCACAAATGCACATTAGTAATTAAGGTGGCATACTTGCAACCCAGAAGATTTTTTAAATGACAAAAATATGCTTTGCTTTTTGTCTTATACAGAAGGAAACAATATTTTTTAATAATAAATTAATTTTAAATAGTAAGTAATTAATATCTGAAAATTCAGTTACTAATTCTAAAATTCAAATAGTACAAAAACAATGATATGCTAAAAGCAGTCCTACTATTTGTACCTTTTAATATAAAAATATTATTTTAACCAGTTTTCATACAAATGCTAAGAACAGAAGCAGATTTTGCTTTCACTAAGAAGAAACTTCATAATTTTGTTCATACAATTGCCATGTAGGATTGCTTTTGCTAATAAGAGTTTTTCTAATGTGTCATTACTAATACTGGACATAAATTCAGTAGGTGTAGTAACAACACTGAAAATCCTCTCACACTTTGCATTTCTATGGGGAACTGTCAGAATGGGTCATATTATTCTAGACAGTTCACTGTTCTATCAGCCCCTTTTATCTTTCTACTGAAACTCCACTGGCTGTCAATCCTTGTTGATTTTATAACTTCATATCCAAGTTTTCTAGCTGTAAACTGCTAAACTGTGACTACACTCCTTGGAGTTGGCTGTTTAACAACTGATAAACTGTGACTACAACATCAATATCACCATCTTTCAAAACTAAATGAGTCAAACTGAAAATCTATTAAAAAATATCCTATATCAGAAAAGATGCGTTAACTACAGAAGAAGCACACTTTATCATTGATTGAAAATTTATATAACATGGATTAGATTGGATTATTCAATAATGGCAAAGCACATGAGGGCTATTTGCCTAAAGGGAGGGATGCCTTCGTGGAGGACTTTCTAAGGGAACTGGCTTGTATGCACGTTACACATGGGGAAAACCACGAAAACGCCCATACAGCCAGCCCATTTGCTGGATTCGAACCTCAGACCGAACTACCAGTGTTCAGTTTCTCGGCCGCTGGTGGGCTATATAATATGGAATGACATACTTTACAGAAGTAGCATATTCCACTTCTTTTTTACGTGAAAATAAAACTTTTTGTCTTCTGAAAGTTTTTCCATTACTTTGTTAGTTGCAGCCCCTATAACCTAAGCATCATCTTTCTTCTGATTTCCTACTTTACCTTACATCATATCATATACAGAATTAGAAGACAAAACAAAGATTGGTTTCACAAATTTTGATAAAAATGTATTTAAACAGATCAGTAATCATCGATTACAAAACATGAATTAATAGAATTCCGCTTTGTAGAGTTCTGAAGAAAATCATAAACATTCACTTTTAACAAGATAAACTTGCAGAAATAGAAAAATATTTCCCTTGTCGAGCAATTTTTTGTTATTTTGAGAGAACTTTACAGCTTTATGCTTATATTTTATAGTATTATTTTGAGAATTGCCAATTAAATTGCTCACAGGTGCAGAAATTTATTTTTTCAACATCTATTTTTAACAGTGAAAGTAGTAACTTCACCTCCATTTACATTAGGTATTTCAAAACTTTCAATAAATAAATAGCCTTTTATCTTAACTTTAGAAGCATTTACTTCTTCCTTAAAAAACGTAAGAAGTGTGTTCCATCGAATGAGGATTCTGGATAAACATTTCTCAGATAACCAGCATGTACATGTATGTTTAAAAATTTTTATTTCAGGATTATGCAACTGTTGGAATTGTTTCAATTTTCCCTTCCTTTTAGAACTCTTTTAATGATAATAGTAAATATTAGCAATGTATTAATTTATCCTTACTTATATGCAAAGAAACTACCCTTTTTTTCAGCTGCTAAATTTAGGAGGAGACAGAAGAACTTCATAATTTACAAATCAATTTCTAAGATTTCTGCAGTGCCATTCTTCAACGTAAGTGCTAAGCAACATTCAGATGAATTTTATTTTTTTTGGAATTTTAACAATTGGCTGTGCTATATTACAGCCTGTTGAATTTCCTTCTAAAATGGAGACAGAAAGTAAAGTAAATTTCTGAAGACTTTGGATTAAGAAAAGAAACAACACTCGGATACAGTTTTGCATCAGTTCATCTATAAAAAGGCAGAATGGAGCTGTTTTAATGCAATTAATAAGTAAAGATTTTTTTTTTTTCATACTTACTTCTTCAACAATTGTAGCCATTTTTGTTCTAACACTTGAGTATTTCTCAGTGATTTTGCTGTTGGGAAGAACAGTCATTCTGCATTAATGACTTTTTGGTCCCTTGTTTTGAAAGACAAATTTAATTTTCCATTTTTTTTACATAGTTTACGTTGTCACACATATTTATGAATGTCGACCCTTTCCCCAGGCAAAAGCGGAAAAAGACAAAGACAAACGGTGCACTTAGCAAAATGTATTACATTTCCTTGATGATAAAATAGAAGGAAAGTCATCTTTATAGAAATTTTGAAAGGAACATAAGTATTTTACCTTTTTTTGCAAACATTACTAAGGTAAAAGATTACAATTTCTTAAACTATTCCTTGAAAGCAAGTGAAATTCACAGCACGCAGTGGCAAAATGAATGAAATAACAACCTCAATCTTGCTTCGTGCTCATGCCATATAGCCCCAGTGGCCCTTGACGCTCATTGGAGAACTGGAATATGATGCTTTCGGACACACATGCTAGCAGAAGCGTGCCATAATGTCTGACTGAAGAAATGATATTTGTTTTCCTTTAGATGTAATATAAAGAAAAACAAAGCATTTTTTTTTTGGATGGGGGAAAAAAAAAAAAAAAAAAATGGAGTATTAAGCTAAACTACATAAAATTCATGAGAAATTTTAAAAATAAGAGAAAAATGGGGGGAAAATGTTGTCAATTGGCTTGACGGGAGCACGGTTGGAAATTGGGAGATGTCAGCTCTGAAGATAGCAACTAATAGCAAGAAAGTATACCTGCTGATTGGATTTCCTGCTAAGTCATTCAATGACAGGAGCTTACAGTTCACTTACAAAATTCAATAAAGATCATCTTGTGAACATTCTACATACAGTAGTATGAACAATTCACAACATGTAAATTAGCTTTGTAAGATGTAATAACAGACTTATCCCCAGTCTCTGATGAGCTAACTGAGCATATATGGCTCAGTTTTGCACACATTTTCCAAACTTCAATGCAGAGAACAAGAAAGGAATTTAATATTCAAGGAGTGAACACACATGAGATTTCTACAGAAATCACTAAAGCAGATGCCATACCAGCACAGTCATTGCAATCAGTAAAATATAAGGATAAAGTCATTTGCTTTAAGTTTGCATTTGATTTCAAGAACATGATGACAGTTGTGATAAATTTCTATTTAGTGACGAAACAATTTTTTTCTTATGACACTATGAACAAATGCAGAATACAGATTCCATGCTACTTTATTGAACTTATTTTTTTTTTTTTTTTTCATTTTCTGAAACTTACCGTTTTTATGTCATCTAAAAATTTAGGGTCTCCCTTTCTATTACTAAATAAACAATTCCAGAATATATATATTTAGGCACTTTTTTTACTGAATAAACAATTTCAGAATATATATATTTAGGCACTTTTTTTACTGAATAAACAATTTCAGAATATATATATTTAGGCAGGTTTATCAAATTGGCTTAAACCATGGCTAGAGACAGAAATAGTAAACTATCTATTCACTAAATGGTATTCTGTTCCACTTTAGAATGCCAATTAATTGCATCAGTTGATAGTTTATCAACAATTGCACTTATGATCCCCATGTTCCTCTGACTTAACCCTATGGAAGCTTCACATGGCCTATTTTAAATTAAAAGTTTTTCTACAAAATTGTACAGTTACTTCATGATATGTTTAGTAATACATACACAACTCAATGACAAGAGCTCCAGTCATCTGTACTTGCAAAGTTTAAGTTTCAGCTAGGAGTAGAACATATGATCTCATTATTCTATTGCAGCTACTGCATTAATAAAGCACATGATCATTCTTTTAATGCTTATAAACAGGATATTGCTTTACCTCCTTTTATTTCAGACATGATTGGCCACATGTACTATCAGTAAAGAGGTAATGCCTAATTCACAAGTTTTAGTTATGCTGTGGAGCCACTGTAATGATGCTAATTACGAATTTGGACCTCTTTTTCTATAATATTTTACTACAGTGGTATATGCCCCAATATCTTTTAATACACATTTGAATGTTTGTTGATAAGGTGTCAATGAATGCAACATATTCATTTCACTAATATATAGAAACAAATTTTGTTTTAATTATGAAATTTAAAATTTAAATCAACTATTTGAATATTAAGACAGGAAAACACAAACTGAAACTATCATTTCACAAAATAGCTGCAAGCAGTCATTTTTTTTCTGTTACATGTAATCTATAATAAACACTTAAAAAAATTACTGAATAGCATTGCATTACCTTTTGAAGACGGGATGGCCATTTTAGTGGCCATAGAGTCCTCTCTTTGAAAAGACGGGGTTGTCCACTTTAGTGGCCATGTCTTTTTCCCCCATTTTACACGCTGAAAAGTGGGGGTGAAATGTCAAATTTGACGTCCCTAGGGTTTTACCACTTATCTCTTTCAAAGGTCTTCCTTCTGCGACATAGATGCACCCCTCTGAGAATCCATTAAACTACACACAAGAATCTTTGTTGCAAATAGGAGGTGATTTCTTAAAGGGGGGAAAGCATTCAGTTCAAGATTCCCCGTCCTTTGGTAGCTTTTATTGCTACCAAAGCCCCGGCCTCAAAAGGTTAAACATGCAGCCATGATTATAGTCAAATTAATTTATACTGAATTAGAATAGCTACTTATTAATTGATAAAACTTACTTATATGCAACAGATTTAGCTTTCAGTGCAGTGCTGTAAAAATCCTCTACTTGCTCTACAGCAGAAAAATTTTCCAAACAAGCATGAAGAGGTATCCTAGGTCTTACAATATCATCTGGTTTCCTAGTTCATTTAAGAAAAGTGTATTATTAAATTTAATTGCAGCATAACTTTTGTAAAAATTGATTTCATATGAAAATTCACACATCTGATTAAAAAAAAAATCTATCCTTATCATATGAAGACGTGTCAAAATTTGCTAAAATAAAAATTTAAGGATATGCATATATATATATTAAAGAATAATGTAAAATGAAACTTACATTCTATCACCTCTAGCAAGCACTTCTGCTTTTCTTGCTTCATATGCTGCTAACTCTTCTAGAGTAAAAAGATACAATATAATCAATCAGAAGAGCAGAGTTATGTAATAATATGCATATCTAAAAACTATTAAATTAAGAAAATTTTACAGCATCATAAAGAAATGAAAACAAATATTAATTGCATGGCTGATGACAAAAACGTTTAACCAACATAAACTAATCCTGCACCAAAGGCATAAAAATCATACAAATGAGATCATGAGAATCATTTATCTCTTCCAAGCATAAACAGTAAGAAATAATTCATCTCCTAATGAAATCACATGAAATGCATGCTGACAAATGTTACTGACAGAACACTATATCAAATATCACAAAAAATTCAAAAATCAAGCATTTCAGAACACAAATAAGCTATAATGCTCAGGAATGCTTTACCATTCCCACAAATCTTTATGATTAGAACACTTTAATAAAGGTGGGTAAGTACTGGGGAAATTAGATAACCAGCTGAAAGAATATACAATACTTTCATATAGCAACAAAGTGATATATAATATATATATATATATATATATATATATCTTAAATATGAACATAAATGGCAAAAAGATAAAGGTTTGGTTATTTAAAATATTTGTATCAGAATTTGTTTCAGTAACATTCAAGAAAAAAGAACTAAGCTAAAATGGTTTCAATATAAAAAAACCAGACTACCATACAAAACATACCTTTATTGGTAGCAGACTCCAAAGGAATTGGAAGAGATAACAAATAGTCTGTTCTTGTTGTATACTTTACTTTCCCTGACTTTACGCATTGTAATCTCTCTTCTACTTGAAACTTTAGAGAATCAGAAGGATTTTCCCTACTTCGTGAGTTTCGCTAATTTAAATGATAATAACATATTACAAAACATATTCGGTAACAAGAAACAAAACAAAAAAACTTGATTAGCAAAATAATAAAACTACAGAACGATATTTTTCTGCCGTATTATATCATGTAAAATTAAAATAAAACACATTTATTACTTACCTCTATAAGGCTAATAAGATGTAAAAAAAATTCTTGTGCATCCTGCTGCCGTTTTGTAGAGAATTCAGGATGACCATGACCTACAATAAGCTTGAACATATGAGGCTTGATACCAGGTAATTCCTAAATATATAATGCAAAGAATTCATATGTTGTAAATATAATTTATTTTAAACTATTCATTATGGTATAAATAAGCAGATGTGTGATCAAGGGATTATTATAACCATGAAAGAATAATATTACAATGAAATGAGTATTAAGAGTCCTTTATAACATGGATGATACAGTGCGAATGCAAACGAGTTATCAAAGAAAGGTAGCTTTCTCTATGCACTGTGTTTGCTGAACACAACTTCCCAGCTTATTTCAGAAAAGACTATAAAGAACAATTTTAAGCAGACCAGTGTTCTAATAAATGATGAAACAGAGAAAGCTTCATAAATAAAACATCAAAACTTATATGAATTATAAGGAATTTAATGCTTGGGTGAATAGCAGCATCAATCACAGAAGATACCCGCCAGTTGTTTTCTGAAACAAATCCAACTACATCATGTGATAAACTTTTTGATGATGATGATGATGGACAAAGGTCACTGTATTTCCCACAAATGCTGAGATGAGGGATGCTATACAAATATTAAGGGCACCGTCAAATAATTTGCAGACACATTATTGATATGAAGAGTTAGTTCATGAAGGACTTTTTACACAACAATCACAAATAAACAACTATTAATGACATTTCCCACCAAATAAAATGGTGTGAAAGTAGGTATTTATGTTTCTACATATATCTGTATTAAATTAATCAAATTCCACTGATATTTTGAAGGAAATTTTTCTCATTGCATAATGTTAGTAAAACAGTCCACGAACTATTTTGATAACATTGCATCCTGATCATACTTAGTGGTGATGACTGTAGGTTTTGTTTATATATATATATATATAAAACTTGCAAAAGAAAATACATTCTGAAAGTGCTTTACACTGAAATGAAATGAGAAATCGTGATTTAAAATAAAAGGATTCCGCTATAAAGAGACTGTATTACAGCATAAAGCCTTGCTTTTTCATATGAAAGACAGCTCCATGTTAACAGGTTTGAGCAAATCCAAACAAAAGTCCTAAAAAGCAGTCAAATGTCTACAAATGATTTACAGTTTGAAGAAACTACCTCTTCAAATGCCAAGTATAGCAAAGGATGGGAGGGGGAAGACTAACAAATATACTGGACAAAACGTGGCTATAGCATTAACAGGTGAGCAACTCACCCAGTGCAGTTAAAAGTAGCAATGCAGGCAGGCAGAGATTGAAAGATGCAGATTTGTAATAGAATATGCATGGGAAAATGTTGATAGGGGGTGGTAATGAGATCAGCAGGTGAAAGCAGCTTCCTGATGCAAACTGAATTACATTTATGCATTCTGACACACTGCTATAGGAACATAAGCTTGTTAATACACATTTTATCCTGAAGTATTCTGAATGAAAATGGAACAGCTGCTCAAAGGATGCACAGAGAATGATACCATGGGGCCAACTGTCGAACATTTTAGCATTCACCACGAGCAGTGTGAGAATGGATCACTCTGTGCCTGCAAGCATGATGTCCACAAAGGATGATACAACAAAACTTCCCCAATGGATCAGACCTGGTGAACATATTCTTTGACCACATGATTACCAGATTTGACATGCGTTCCCCTCCACTTTTGAGGGCCCACTAACAGTATGATCTAAGAAAGTCACACTAAGTCCTATGAAAAGCTAATGACTGTCAAGACCACCAGTTTTTGTAGGAAATGTGTATGAAATGTTGGCAATCTTTTCCTGATGTATGCCAGTCCATGCACTACTGCTGTGAATCTTGTATGATTGTGGTAGTAGTTGCATTTTTTAGTATTTATTGCAATAAGCTGAACTGTTAAAATTTTTGCTGCTTTTGATTTTGGTTGTGTTTGATTCTTAGCTGTTGTTTATGGAAATGGTGTGTATAAGCACCATCATTATACACACCATTTTCACACACACAGTCACTAAGAAAATCTGTTTATTTTAATCCCTTTATATTTTTGCCAGGTATCTTTGGATCACTCTGTATATATAGAAAGACAAAGCTAATTTCCATCTTCACAGTAAACTTCTCAGTAACAAAGTAGAATTACAGAATTTGGAAAACTGAAAATTTTCATTCATTGTAAAAGATGCCAATTCAATCACACAAGTTTACAGCTGTGTTCATTGCTAAACACAGTTTGGTGAATTTCTACCATAAACATATCACCTGCTGGATCTTAAGTTTGATATCTAGTAAAGCACAGCATTTTTAGTGACTGATGGAAATGGGTGAACCTGAAAGCAATTTACCCAAAATAAACAGATGGTTCTATTGATCTACTGTTACATAAGTAATTTGTGCTCTGAAAAGCAAAGTAATCTGATTTTCTGCATTTTTCTCTAGCGTAATAAAGCGACTCTTATTTTTACAGTAGCAAATTTTAGAAAATATTACTGTTTCCTTTGAACACAAAATTCCCTTCTTTTAAGAATATTCATAAAAAATATGAAGTTATCCAAATAAACAAATTTTCTTACTCAGCCATTTAAAATATGAACTTCCGATACATATATTATGTATGTGATATGTACATAAAATCACATCTATATGAAAAATAATCAAAAGTAATAAAATTCATAATTTAATTTGAAATTATTTTAAATTAGGAATTATCACAAATTTCATTATTGTCAGTAAATTTAAAAGATAACTAATGGAAGAAAATTATATACATCTGTGAAACCTTACTTCACCCTTTATCACATTATTAAATGAAAAATTAATGCAATGGCAAAACCTGGAGTTAAAACAGCAAATATCTCATGAACATAATAACACATACCTCTACTTCCTGATCCTTTGTTGATCCACTAGGTGGTTGTGAATATTCACCACTTAATAACCCATAACCAAGTTTAGCCCTAAACAATATAGAATAAAATCTACAGAAATCCTTAAATAATTTAATGTTACAGAAATATAAAACAAATTTTAAAATAACTCATAAATATTAATAAATACATTAGCCACTGAAAATGTTTTATTCTTTAGAATAATAGTTCTGGCTATGGCTCTCATATCTCCTTATTTTAAAGCATTACAAAATAATTTGTTAACTCAGTCTATGAAGTAGTCAATTATTGGTAAATATGTATTATCCTCTTGATTGTGAAACTATCAACAAACTGCGCAATTTAGCGCCAGTTACAAATAAGTATGATGTAACAACACACTCATAAGATATCACTTTTGTTTGATGTAACCTCGATTGATTCTAGATAAGCCACATTTTATTTTTATGAGGAAAGATGTAAATTAACTGTTATTGTTGTATTTTCCCCTTGCATTTTGAAAAAACAATGATTAAAATTAGGGTACCTGCCTCCTACAGAACAGAGAGAAGTAGATTACTTTTAAGGTTATGGAATCCTATCATAAAAAAAGTGCATATTAATGGACACAATGAATCTGGCCAATAAAACAGTAATAGATTGGAGCAATTACCTGAAGGAAATTTCTACTCAAAATATAGCTTCTAGTAAAATTGGAGGGTGTTCTAACTAAATAGTAAAAATCGCTGCAAGTTTGACTTTTGAGCTGTTTTAGAATTAAATAGGAGGGCTGACTTTAAAACTGTAGTTTTCTTCTACCACATCAAGTTGTTTCTCTACATCTAATGTGAATGTCCCCACTCTCCAAAGTATTGCACATGGATCACAGAAAAACTACTGCTCTCCTATTAGTTGACATGAACCCTCTGATCAGTGCTGGGTGAATGGTGCAATAGGAGACTGACAGGTGCATATTTGTCTAGACTAGTTCAGTTATGCTGACACACTGTAGTGAGAGACTGTGTGTCGCTCCGATATAGTAAAGCGTATTTCAACGTGGAAGCCGAGCTCTTGTTTGTATATAAGGTTAGCAGTATTTAGTTTTTATTTATATACGAACTGAAACCTTTCCTTATGTCTGCCTCTGCTAGTTTGTGTCGCACGTGCTCAAGCAGCCCTGTTTTGTTTTGTTATATATGGGGCATTTTACCATTCCCAAATAAAGGACAAACAGCAGCCTATTTTGCCTATATTAAAGTGAAAATTAGTAATCACGATAAATAATACGCTCCTCACAAAGTGTGCAAGCAGTGTGTTGAGAGTTTACAGATGTGGATGAAGGGAAGACTTTCTAAATTTTTATTTGGTATACCTATGACTTGGTGAAAGCCCAAAGATAACTCAAGTGAGTGTTACTTTTGTATGGCAAAAATGTCAGGATATAATAAGAAAAACAAATGTAAAATAGAGTATCCTAGTTTGGCTTCAGCTTTACTCCCAATGCCTTACTCAGTTGAACTCTCAGTGCCAGTTATCAAAGAATTAGCCTCTTTGGAAATGCAGGAATATGATTCTAGTGAATGTCGAACTGACCCCAAAGCAAATATTTTGAAATTTAAGAGGATTCTGTTCATAAGGGATTTGACCAGCATGAGTTGAATGGTTTGGCATAAGATTTGGGACTACTGAAAAATGCTTTTAGCTGTTAGCTTCACGACTGAACGAGACAAACTTGCTTGAAAAAGAAGTCAGGGTATCCTATTTTCAATCAAGAGAAAGTGTGTTTCTGCAATACTTTTGAAGTGATGATGGATGATGTATTCCCATAACATACATGGTTTAATGGAAAAGTTAGGAATTTCAGCCTCTGATATAACTCAGTATTCATTGATAGCTGAAAGTGGAGCTTGAAGTAAATACTCCTTTACAATGGAAATTAATTTGGTTTGTTTTCAATAGGCCATTCAGTTTGTTTGTGTGAAAAATATGAAGACATAAAGAGAGTCATTGATTTGTTATAATATCACATGCACCAACGGATCATCTGTGCTGACCTTAAAATGGTTTGTTTCCTCCTTGGCCAACAATATGGATAAACCAAGCATATCTGTTTTTGGTACATGTGGTAGAGTTCGTGAGAAGCACTGAGTGTAGTTGAATTGGTTGCCAAGATCTAACCTGAGAACCAAACATTCTACACATTCTGGCCACTTGTAGACATAAAGAACATAAAGAAGAAATTTGTTAAAGCTTTGCCAATTGAATGGGATTGTTTCAAGTATCTTATTTCAGCATTTCCTAGCCTGTTATGTGAAAAGATAAAGGCTGGTGTGTTTGATGGTCCACAGATTTGGCAGCTTCTTTAAGATGAACATTAATCAAAACAATGACATAACTTCAAAAGAATGCTTGGTTGGCATTCAAAAACATTGTCACAGACTTTCTAGGAAATACAGCAGCACACGATTACAGCAACATTGTCTAACAACTTTGGGAGAGCTTCAAAATGGTTGAGCATGATGGCTGACTAGTGTTGGAGCATCAAGTAAGAATGTTCAGAGATTCAAACTCCAGAAAAAGCCATAAGTGGAAAATTTTAGCTTAATATGCATGTTTACCATTTGGTGAAAACACTTTCCTATTTGTATGAACAAAATTTAACTCGCAGTAACTATATATAGCCTTTCTATGAATAAAACTATTCTTTGTGAACAGTATATTTGGCAAGTTTTCCCTTTATTTAGGCATATTTTGTATGACTTTTGAGACAAAGAGAAGGGATCTTCTAGCTTAAAAATTTGATGTGATAGACAAAAACTGAGATTTTTTTTTTTAAGACTGAGAAGCCAAAGGTTAGCCCAAAACAAGCGACAGATCTAAGACAACAAAATTGCTGTTCCCCAGTGTTGTTTATTAGATAAAGAAGTGCCAGTTCCTTCAGAATTCCAAAGGAGTGAATGGCACAACTTTAGTGGGTCTTGGTAAGCTTTCATGGTTTGATGGTAGCCAACTTGCATAGTCAATGGGATAAATATATAAGTACCAAATTAATATATGTTCAACACTAGTAATTTATATTCAGTGAAAACATGAACATATATCTTAAAAAATTTTCCAAGCTTCCAGAATTATATTTCAAATTATTACATGGTTGAGCAGACCTCTTAAAATGGCGACTTCTTTTTTAAGTTATTTACTTTTCATACGAAAACAGAAGTCTCTAAAAAATATTAAATTCATATAAATATAAAACTATTTTATTCTGAATGTTAAACATAATTTTCATAATACAAAAATATAATTTTCAATAAAAACTGTGCAGTAATAATTACTTTTTAATTTAAAAGTCTGCATAGAAAACCTTCATATGTTTGTGGATGTAAAGAGACATGTGTAGTTGAATTTTTTGCTATGAAAACTATTTTATTTTTCAGCACTTTTCCATTCTGATAAATCTGCACAGCACACCAACTACTAAAAAATAGTAGAGAGAAAACCCTCATCAAACAGTACAATTCTGCACTTCTATTTTAGCTGATCGATCATTAAAATCTAAATTATATTTTTCAAAAGAATGACTTAATACATATTTTTTACACTTGCAATTAGCATTAGAAAGCATATTTTCTTAAAGCAAAGCACACTGCCCTTTTGGTTCATGATTTGTATTTCTGGGAAAAGTTATAATCAATATAATATAAACATAAAAGGTTTATACAAAAGCAATCTTTTCTAAACCAGCATATCAATTACATACATCAAAATTATTTCTGAATATCAGACTCGGTAAAAACAAAACAAATAAGATGCTCAGATTATATTTTCAGTGACAACTATACAATGATTATATTTTATATTTGTTACGGTGAAACACCGAAATCTGGAGAATGTCAACATTCACGTAGTCGCTTGGTGTATGTCCGAAATATTTTCCAAATACTCTTATTTCTGACTTACATCGGTGAATGTCGACATTCACCATGTACTAATGGTGAATGTTGAACATATGAGAATATTATATTTCCTTCTCCGTAATTCATTCGTCAAAAAATGCACTTGAAACTCAGAATAAGAACTTAAAATACACAGTACATTCAAAATGAGAAAGGAAAATAATAGAAGTTATAAACTTACCAAATTATGTGATTCAAATCTTATTTATTGCAACAACTTAAACTATTACGACACTATGAATTGCACAAGAGGCCCTTGCTTTTACAACTGCATTTATTTGTGGAACACTTCCTTTTGCAATGGCAGCGTGTACATATAGTCCTCTCTTTTCGACCTACACCAGAGCATATCTGTGATTGTTGACATACACCGGTGAGGGTCCGAATGTACAAGAATGTAAAGAAATATTCGATCTTTCACCGACGTATTTGGTGAATGTTGACATTCTCCAGTGAAAGTCCACATTCTCCAATTTCGGTCTTTCACGGTAACATATTTATATTTTATAATACCTCTTTTATAATTAAATTTGAGTTATATTTCAAAATCACAATTTACATTTAATTGCCAGACAGCATTTAAAAAAAATATAAATTTCATAAAATTTTGGAAATCTTTTAATTACAAAGCAATTTTAAGCAAATATTTTACTACTCAAAAAACAATGTATCATAACATATCAAAACATAGTTATTTGTATTTTAAATATAAAAGGAATGGAAATATGCAATGGAATATTGCAAGAAAATGAAAAATATTTCAATACTCACATCTGCACATTAAAATCTTTAGGAGCATTGACATAAGGAACTTCACCAAATATTCTGTTACAATTTTCATAATAGCTGTAGAAAATGCAATTTTTTAGATTCAATACAAATCAGAACAAGTTACCAAGTGAGCTAATACCCAAATAAGTTAAATGACAAGTACTTTAATAGTCACAGAAACAAAATTTTGATATAAATTTTGAATCCTGTTAAAAAAATTAAAGCATAAAAAAAATTACAGGAAAAAATATCACTTTTACTTATTTTTTATAAAATATAATGATAACAACTTAATGATTAATACATTTATATATATTGTTAAAAGCAAAATCTTATAAGCGGCTAAAGTGTGTTTTGCCGATAGTTTATTGTTACCACTCGGAAAAATGAGCGCGGAAATTGACGTTTCCGCAATTTTTAATTAATATATCGGCTGATTAAAGTCGTACAAAGATGAGAACGGTATCGATGGATTCAGAGAATTTTTTGGAATCCAAAGATACGCGTCTCGAATTTCAACTCGGCGCCGTTCCTTGGATATTCGAGAAAAAAGAATTTGGCACGTAGCCAAATCCCTCTAATAGGGAAAACCCAAGAAATAAAGTGGAAAATGTACGGAAAACGTAGGGGAAAATTAATTTTTAATTAATATTTCGACTAATTAAAGTCCCAAGAAGACGCGAATAGTCAAAATGGCGTGCGCTTCGTTAAGCCCGGGAGACAGCTGTTTCGGAGGAGATGATGTTACTTCACCCCATATATATATGCGGCTTAAGTGTCTGTTTGTCGCCGATAGTTTATTGGTTGCTCGCGTAACTGTACTAGCCAATGGGGTGAAGTTGTCACGGCACAAGGTTGATGTTTCAATTGAGACGTAGACAATTTCCTGTAAAACTTGCCTTTGCTATGACCATCAATAAATCTCAGGGTTAAACGCTTAAGCGTGTTGGCATTATTTTACCTGAGCCAGCATTTGGACATGGTCAACTTTATGTTGCCTGTTCAAGAGCTCGTGAAAGAACGGACGTAAAATTAAAAATAATTGATGGTCCTCTGCAAGGCGAGCTAAAAAATGATGGAAAGATCTACACAAGAAATGTTGTATACAAAGCGATCTTTGACATGTGAATTAACATTTTATTATTTAAATCACCTTTATTTATTGAGCTAGTGGTGGCTCTTAAGAAATGTACTGCCAGTGGTTTCCTTCATTGAACTCTACTTTAATCAATTAAGCAAATAGAAGGGGGAAACCCCGTGGGGCAGTAAGCAAAGGGGCGTCCTTGCCGCCTGCCCTGGATAATTCAGTTTAAATTAGCAGACACTTTTGCACAAATCATTTTAATTACAATTTATAATATCTAGAACAGCGGTCATTTCATATGACCAGCCGGCTTTCTAGTAGTATATAACTCAGGTTCAAAAAGAAAAACAATTACAGTCACCATTACAACAAATTAATGTCTAAGAAAACTACATGCTATTCATGAATCCATAAAATGGATACATAAATTTTGCTTCATACTGGGAATTAGTTTCAATTCCCTTCTTTCATAATAATTAAATTCTATAAAGAATAGTAATTTTAGTAAAATCACGTAGTTCTATAATTATTCCATTCTTGATTACATAAATGACTTAACAAGTAGATATCTAGTGGGAAAGAGAATTTTTTCCCTAATAACTTCCTCTTAATTTATTAAATTTTGAAAGTACCTCAGAGCTAAATAATTATGAAGCAAATTGAAATCTGATAAATTATTTCTTTTGTCACACATTCAATCATAGAAGTAATACAATAAACTAATGAAATATAAATGAAAGAAAACTTCAGATTAAATTTTTACAAATTAAGTTTAAATTTCCACTTTATTTCCTTTCTCACCTTAAAAATTCTGAATTCTTATAATTCAGTTATAGGAAGAATTTTATTATTATTTAGTTAAAAAAAAAAAAAAAAGAGAGAGAGAGAGAGAGATTTAAGGAATCTGGATGTATACATACCATTTCTGAAAATCTGGAATGTTGAAAATGACTTGCATAATGGAATTGAGGTAGCAAGAATTGCCTAAATTTGCCAGACCTGTATAACCAGGACCATATAAAGGAACTAGCTTTGTTCCAGCTTCTTGAATTATAGCCCATTCTCCAATGCGCTGGTTCATATCAATTTCTAATTCAACCATAGATTTATCTGTCTAAAATCAAATTTATTAGTTTTAATAATATTAAAATTTCACAAAAAATTTCATTAATACCCACACACTTTTACACAAGAATTAACAATATGATGTTATGAACATGTTTCTACGCAATACCAATTATCTTCATAAAACTATTTGAAAGATGATTCCCCCCTCTCGAGTTTCTTAAATAATAAAAATGGAACATTCCCCCCTTTTTAGGCACAATCAATTAATCGTATTTAGATAATAATTACCTTGTTGACAAAAGTGTTCGGGTGATACTAGGCAATTTTGCACTATTTCTTGTAGACCTTGCTTTGCATTAATCTCCTAATAATGCTTAAGATATTAAAATAAATAAGACTGCATAATGCCATTACATGTATAGATGTGTCCACTACAAATTTATCTTAAGAAATCTAAGTGTAGGTGTTTTATATTCTGGCACCCACAGTTATCATCCTCAAGCACAAAATGTTGCATATAAATACTATTACTTGAGATCTAAAAAATTACTATGCTCAATTTTTAATTCTTTTCACTTTGTCACATCAGATACATTTCAAGAAGCTGAATAAATAACTGGCACATCTTTGATATCTTTTGATGATCTTATGACATCAGTAATTATCACTTTTTTGGGAGGGCAGGAATTCTACTATGAAGCACTCATTTATCTTCTTATACAGCTGTATTTTTTAAAGTATTCTGCTCATGTTTTACTGCAAATAGGCTGTATTTTCTTTAGTTTCTCTCCCCTCAAATTCTTTATATAAATCTGGATAAATTGCTTTCTACAACTATTAAAATTGATACAACCTCTCCTTCCTATTTTATACATATAAGATATATTTCTGAACCAACTATATCTAAACTTCAAGATGATCAGAAATAAAATTTTACAGAAAAAATTCTTTTGTTTTTGCTTCTTAACTTACACCACCAATGCTTATCCATTTCCAAGTGCAATGCTATGTTGTACATGTTCTTGAACTATTTTTGAAAAGCCTTTTTCCATGCCTAATCTTCACATTTTATTAATTTCCTATTCACTTTCTAAAGAATAAACAAGGTTTCTCTTACAACTACTTATTTTTCAACTCTCATGCATTGTCACAAACTAAAAAATTCTGCAATGGCACTTAGTTAATGAGCAATATTCCCAGCTAATTATGAAAGCAATTTTAACAAAATGAAGAAAACACAAGAAAATTTATGGATGAATGATAATTTAAAGACTTGATGAATTTATTAACTTAACACAGATTAATACAAAGCCGATTCGAAAAGTAAGTATCATTTGGGTATTTATTGATGAACAATAATTTAAAGATTTATTATTGTTATAAATCTGTGTAACTGTAATTTATTACTTATGTAATTTATTAACACAGATTAATAGAAAGCTAATTCAAAAAGTAAGAAAACATTTGGGTATTAAAAAAGATTAGCAATATGTTTTCATTTATATTTTATTAAGAAAAATCTATACACCTTAAACTACTTTAATAAATGGAAGTCACATGGATCTAGGTCTGGATTATAAGGAGGGTGTCAGAATGGTTATCAGTGAAATGAATAAAGCAGCATCGCTATTGCGTGTGTGATCATGGATTGTCATGCACGAATACAATACCAGAAATCAGTATTTCAAGCCTTTAGTTCTGTATCACACACTGTTACTTCTTCTTTGACTCACAGTAAGCTGTATCATTGATTGTTATGCCTCATTCCATCCAGTCCACCAGCAAAATTCCTTAACAGTCCTAAAACACAGTGTACATGATTTTTCTTGAAGAAAGAGGTGGCTTTATTTTCTTGGGTTTCAGGAAACCAGTATGCCACCATTCCAGTGACCATAGTTTTGTTTCAAGTGTCTTGCGACAAATCCATGTTTCATAGCCAGCGACAATTCTTATTTCAAAAAATCATTTCAGTCTGTCGCATAATGCTGCTTCCATGCATTTCCGTTCTGAATGGCCAGTAAAGTTTTCAGTACACGAACACACTTTTTTTAAGTGCAAATGCTCAGTCACAATTTCGTGTAATGAAGATCATGAAGTGTTCAAAAAATGCAACAAATGAAATCAGAAATTTTGAATCGCCTTTTAGAACGAAATTTTTATCGATCCAGTGCATCAATTCTTTGGTGATCAATGACAGATGTCCACAGCTCTCCATATCCTAAGCCACTTTCACACTATACCTTCACACATCGTATTCTCTCCATAAGTTTCATTTACCTGACTATAAATTTCACAAGGTCGAACATTTTTTTACATTCAAAAATTTGACAACAGATCTTCTTTCATAGTTGATGGGTCGATAGATAGTTCTAAACATGATTACCACTATACAGTGTTTTCAAACATTAATTTAAACAAACAGCAAATTCATTCTTGAGTTGAGCGATGTAACTATGCATGCACAACCTTTGTGCCATCAGATCAACAGAGATATGTATAAATGGTACTTACTTTCTGGATCAGCTTATTAATTACAAATTTAGTTTATATGCACAAATTAGAATGCATGCATAAGCAGATATCTAAATACACAAACATGGCAGTTGTGTTGTACGTATCAGAATATTTTAGAAAATGCAAATATTCAATGTCAGAAATACCTTTTGTAAGTCTTTTATGTTTATTCCAAAATGAGCTAAATGGGCTGGAAGGTTGGGATCTATAACCATAGCATCCTCATCATAAGAATACACATCTGATGGTGGGGAAAAACGAATTATTAGAAGCAAGACATATTTGGTTTCAACTGCACTAAAATTGTATTTTGCATGTATTTTATAAAACACTCTCCTTCCATAATTAAATACTTCAATAAAAAAATTATCTAAAAATTAAAACAACTATAAAAAGAATACAAGGCATATAACTTTCTAAACTACAATGCCATTTTCCCAATACATTAAGAAGCATAAATCTGTTACAAAACAAGCACCAAATTAGTAACTTAAAACTCTGTTGCATTATGAATTTATAAGTTTATCCAGAAAATACTTTTATTGCTTTATTTACCTTTAAAAAAAAAAAAAAAAAAAAAAAAAAAAAAAAACAGAGGAAAGTTATCTTAAAATGGATTTATTACATAAAATTAAAAAAGAAATTTCTGTGTGAACCTAAAAAATATTTGAAGATCCCATGTCATATTCATCGTATTGGTAATTCCACATCCACAGCAGCCACTTGTTTTGACTATTTCTTACATCCTCCTCATAATGAAAAAAGATTACAAATAATATATCTTTATAATGAATAAGGAATTCCTTTTCCATTATAAAAAGTAATTAATGGCTAAAGCAAAAATGGATTCATTATACTCTTATCATTGTGGACTTCTTGTATTAGACATTTAAATGGAATGATCATTATAATGCTCAGTGATTATACTGAGCATCAATTATACATAATTTCAGGTTTAATGACTGCATGTCACTAATACCTGATAAGCTAATTAGCTGTTAATCAATATTTGATATAACACAACAGTGTTTATACAAACTAACTAGAACAGAGCAACTTTGGATAACACTTTTGCTGCTGGTCATACGAGGTTATATTGATAGTCAATGAAATAGATTGTACCCATATGCCAACTTATTATAAGAAATATGATTTAACCCTCTGGGCGGCCAGGGTTTTCGCTAAGAAAGCACAAATTTCCCAAAACTACTATGAGAACAAATTATTTTTTTGATTTTAATGTAAAAACTCTACTGGTATTTCATACCTGGATATGTTTTCTTTCGATATATTGCCTTAATTTCGTTGACACATTTTAATATGCACATATATATACGTTCTTACGGATATAACAATAAATATTCTAAGCCGTATATATACGGCCTTGCCACTTAGAGGGTTAAAAAGAAGGTAGTAAAAGATTATTATGTGTACCACATTTGATTACTAAGCCTTTAAGCATAGAATTTTATAGCTACCTGGCAGCGTGTGATCGGCACTAGAGGTAAAATTACTTCTGTAAAATGCTGCATTATGCACTGGTGCATGGCATTTAAAAGTGAATCAAAATAAGTAACAATATGCACTATTTTGGTGTGAAACTATAGCAGAAACAAATATATATTTTACAAATCAATTTATGACAAGATTATTACAATGATATTATTGCAAACTATATATTTTCAGAATGTTATTCATGCATGATCTTTGCGTGAAATGAAACTTTTGTTTCCATTCCAAACCACATACATTTTCCAACTAGTTCCTAACCTTCACTCCATGCCAATATCAGCATCTACTATATTCAAAACATAATGCCGACTGAACTTGAAAAGAAAAAATGAGACTTTGCTTTTTCCCCGCAAGTGCATGACTGGCACCTGAGACATCATCCCACACCATATATTGCCTTAATAATCGATATATTGCACAAGAGCATTGATTGGCTCTTCAGCAATAATGCCAGTCATGTACCAGTGCATGATTGGCAGCGAATATGTTAATATCCATGATCTAGCTAATTTTCATAAAAAATACAAATGCCTGACTTTTGCAGACTTCATTCTCAACAATGTTATTTTTGAACATATATACTGGAAAGAGCCAAAACATTATGACTACCTACTCAATAACACATTGCATGATCTTCGGCCTGCGAAACAGCTGCAACTCGCCACGGCATGAATGCCTCAAGTTCTTGGTAGTTGACTGAAGACAGATTATACAAAGGGGCTATGGTAAGGGCTCTATCGGGTTATGATGTGACCAGTTAGGTGGTCAGGACATTAAATAGAATTCATTTTTATGCTCCTCAAACCACTTCAACACAATCTGAGCCTTTAACATGGGAAGTTGCCCTAATGGAAGATTCCCTCTCCAGTTGGGAAGACAGACACCATATAAGGAGGCAACTGATCCACAGTCATGTCTGCAGCATTCATGGTCTGTTCTACCACAACTAAGGGTTCCACAGCCACCCATCAGAACGTCCCTCAAAGCATAACATAGCCACCACCACCAGCCTGTATATGAGCTGCTATAGAGAGAAGGAGCAAATGTTTGCCTGGAAGACGGCATACTCAGACATGACCATTGATATGATGAATGAGACATAATTCATCTGACTAGGCAACAGTCTTCCACTTATCCATGGTCCAGTCTTGATGTTCCTGGGCTGACTGCAGGCCTATTTGTCAATGACACTTGCTCATCAGAGGCATGCAAATGCAGCACAGTCCCTTATCCAACAGTGTGTTTCAAAACACATGCACTTGGACCTGAACTGTATTAGTTGTAAGCTAAGCCACTGTCTCGCACCGATTTTGCTGTACCAAGCGGAACAATCTCTGACATCCTTTTTCTTTGATGACACATGGACGTCCAACACCTAAGGGCCAACTGCTGATTTCACCATCATTTACCCACTTTGCATAAATAATAACAATGGCAGATGGTGAACCTACCAGCTGTGCAGTTTCAAAGATACTTGTCTCGAGTCTTCAGCCATTACTAGCTGCCCTATTACTTACCTGCATCAAATTAGCTTAGATCAGCAGCCTTTCCCCCTCATTTGCAAAAGTATGTGCAAGAATGATTCCTTACCTTCTCCAAGCAACAGTTAAATACCATTCCAACTTAATAACATACTCTCCACATCATCCAGATGAGCTTGTCGAAAAATGTGAGGATGGTCTAATGTTTTGGCTAGTCAGCGTTGTCGCTGCTGAATCAGCCTCTCGGCAGTTTTCACCTCTCACAATCTGAAGTGAACTGTGGACTAAAATAAACTAGAGAGACTGTAGAGTCAGTAATGAACGTAAGCAGAAATGAACGCTGCTTACTGTATTTGTAATCAATCTTCTTTTATCATTTAAAGTTTTTGTAAATAGTAATAAAATATGTGGTTTTGTTAAAGGAAGCCTTACATTTTAAACCGGATTAGTTCAATTTTCAGAATCCTTCTGTCTGCCGTCTACTGTTAAGAAGACAAAAAGGCAAGTTTGCCTTTTGGCATATTATTATTGATCATCTAAAAGTATATATATTTCATTATGCTATCAAAAAACATATCAGAGGGAAAATGCCTTACAATTTTAACCTTATTATTTTTTTTTTAATTTAAATTACATAAAAGAAATAACAATAAAAAATTGATGGGAGGCTGTCTGTTCCAAATGGCTGCTGCGGTTGAATGTGTAGATTTGATTTCGTGACTCTGGATTTTCCGTTACAAAACGTAAATACCATTTATTTATGTTTGTATACAATTTCTAATTGTAACTATTTCTGCAATGTAGAATTATGATTTGAGAAATAACAGGCATAATTCAATAACTGTGTACTAGTATTTTGTGTGAACGTAAGATCCATACAAGAGTTGCCCAGTGTACTTGGATAATTCAAAGGTAACATGCTCAGAATGAAGTTTTTTTTTTTATGAAACTGAATACCTTTTCACATCTACATTAAAATATCTCATCTAATCATTAGTACATCTGTATCTTTATTCATCAATGAGCAAACTTGACCTTGAGTATTTCATAAGCGTACTAAAGAGAAACAATTTAAATTGGCTGAATTAACTGAAGGATGAACTTATACAGATGCCAGTATGGATTAATTGTATTTATTATCCATTAATTGCAATACTGGCCGTACATATATCACTGGCCCCTATTTCCTCTATCCTTCTTCTATGGTTTAGAGTAAAATGAAATGGATTACAATTGGCAATGTTTTTTAGATTCCTGTAAATAGCCACGCCACTGGCTTTTCGTTGTCTATCTTCAGGATGACTTTTCAATGTAATATTCATAAACGCTTTCAAGTTGAAACCCTTCACCTAAATAGGTTAATCCTAAAACATCCAAGTATTGCCCACCAGATGGAAAAGCACAGCACAGTGTATGACATCATAAAAATTTCCCGTCATTTTTGCTAACTCTGTCACTCAGCTATGGCTGAATTGTAATTTCAAATTCCAAAATTCTTTTGGTATTTTGTAGTGTATACATTTGTCTATCAAACAACCCACTCTCTACGTTTTGTAGTTGCAGAGATCTAAGCATTTTACTAATCCATAAAATTATTATAATTTTTCCTTCTAATATGTTATAATGTAAGTTTACATTAAAAATGCTATACTTTTTATTAGGACTTAAAAAACAGTACTTGGCAACTTTCTTTACGTATCTTAGATAAGCATATCTCTTCGCATAATGGCAAAAATTCCCTTGGCATGCCCAATGATTTTTTTTTTTTTTTTAAAGTAAATCATTGAAAACTTTTGAAGCTTCTATTTTTGATAGTTTCAGAAAATCTTTTAGTACAACATAAATGTTAACTGGCATAATTCAAAAATAAACTTAAAGGTTAACTTCAAAAAAGAGACTTTACATCACATTAAGTTTTGCAAAAACATACAGGACTTTTTTTTAAATTGTGAGAATTTTTTTTAAAAATCAGGTACTTTCTGATACCTTTAGTTTCAATATACAGTACAACTGTCATTTTTATGGCATATTTTTTTGTATATGCATGACAAAACCAATTTATGAATGCGTATACCACACATGTGTTTGAACACACAAGAATTTACACACTTAAAATTTAACCACCTCTTTTCTGAGCAATTAACACCCAATGTTAAAATGCAAATATTGGCCATACATACATTTTTTCATTTCTTGTAAAATGTAACTTTTTATTTTTATTAATAAACAAAATATTGCCTATAGAGCCATTAAAATCATCAAACAAAAGGTTTTTACCAAGACAACAAGTTGGCTTTTTCTGCATATATTGATGAAAAATTTAATACATAAAAGGAAATGAACACATTGTCATTATTTATTCTGAAGTTTTGTCTGAAAATTTGAAAATTTTTCATTATTTGCTTATTTTTAGTTTATATTAAAAGTTATTTAATAGTTAACTGAACACATTAAAATTATCTGAAATAAATGTTAATCTGAAAATTTAATATTTAGCTGTTAGTACATTTGACTTACAAAATATAACCAACAGAAATTTCTTAGATTTTTTTCCTGATGGGCAGAATATAAATAATATAAATTTGATTTTTTTGTTTTGTTTTGTGGTATTATTGTTTATATATATTTTGATAAATATCTGAAAAGTGTATTTTAAATTAAATTAGAATCTAGTTTTATTTTGTTAAAAAAATGTTTCAGCTCATCAGCTGCTTTAAGGTCATGTATTCTGGCTCGCATACAATTAGTAGTTTGAAACCACTGGGCTAGTGGGTGCAGATAATCAGAAAGTACCAAAATTCATTTAAAATACTCATAATGACTGGTTTGGGAGTTCATCAATTAATCTGTTTATGCCACTATTTCCATTACATGGAGTTTTACAGCACCCTTGTGTTATCTATTACTGCGAATTCCAACTGCCACCAAGATACAAGAAGTTGCCAATAAATGTCTGCTTTCCTGCTGAAGTGATGGTTTTAATGCATAGCTTGTTCATACATGTCATAAGTATTCGTCTGCAGGATTCTACGAATTTGATTGAGTGAGGTGATACAAAAACAGGAAGTAATTCAGGCAAATATTTTAATTCTGTTAAATTTAAGAGACACAGATAAAACTGCTTTCTTGAATTAATACACAGCTACATTATAAAATTAAGTTAAGAACAGGCATAAGAAGTGATACTGCAATCATTTTTAGCACTAAAAAAATACTGTACATAAACATGCCAAGTAAATTTTTTAAATATGAGGTGTCTGAGAAAGTAATGAAAAAGTGCAGCTCATATATCTGAAATTGATGAGCTTATTGCATTATACACAGCTGCAAAGACGTCAAAAAGCTATGTTTCCAGCAATGTATATTTACATGGCAAACAAAGTGGACTTAATCTTTTGATTTCTTTCGGTGTCAATCATCAAACTTGATACCTATATATTTTGTTCTGTGAATGTGTGGAGGTAGGGTTTTAAAAAGAAGCTGGTGTTGAACAAGTACGGCCTTGGGCAACTGCAAATTTTCAAGCCCAATTTATGGAGGCAATAAAACTGGTCATATCACTGATGCTTTTGATTCTGCGAAATGAGTTTTGGTTAGACACAGCCCAAGCTACAAACAGCACTTATATAGAAGTATACTAATTCTTTTTGAGCAATTCTCTCGAGCTTTTCTAACCACAATGCAATAAACACATCAATTTCAGATCTATGTGTCATTCTTTTTCCCTCGCTTATTTTTGGACATAGTGCATTACACAAAAATAAAAGACTTTTTGAAGTTTAAATGAAGTGAAATAGTTAAATTCAGTGAGCATAATATCTTATTCTTTTATTAAAAAAGCATATATCTAAAACATTTTCAGTTTCTATTTAAAAGCTACTCCTCCTTTTTTTGTTTAGCTTTCTTGGAAATATCATAACTTAAGGTATTCAAGAAATATAAGCTGTCTATGTAATGATAATTTTTTATACAGAATAGAAGAAAACTGCAGACTTTAAATCAAAGTCTTGTAAAAATTAAACCCACACAAAGAAATATATGGTATAACCAATTTGAAAATATTCAATAAATTTTAAGTGATAAAATTAGATAAATAACAGCAAGAACTAATAAATAATTAACAGAATTTATGAAAAATACAAACCTATGAATACAGCAGATTTTGAGTAAAACTAATGATTTCAAAGGCTAGGGTTTTTTTTTTTTTTTTTTTTTTTTTTTTTTGTTTGTTTATTTCTAAGAGGAGGAATCAATAATATCTGAAAACTCTTGAAGAATTAGAATTTTACTCAAAATCTATGCCAAATCAAAGGCTGCTTTTTTGCTTATTTTTAAATAGTATGGTGACATGATTTTCCTCCAAATGTATAAAAATCCTAAAATTAACACAGTAAGTAAATTGATATTCCCAAATGATCTCTCCCCCCAAAAAAACTAGCATGATTGACAACAAATTTTTTAAATGAGAGAAATAATTACAATTGGAATTTATGAGTCATGTTTCATTAAACAATTTTAAATTTCTGAAAATAAAGTTAAAATTCTACAAAATATACCTGAAGCTTCAGATGTAATAGTTCCCAACTTGACAACAAGAGGGTATTTGGTTTTTTCATAATGTTCAACTGCATGGTTATTACCACCAAGGCCATTAAAGTATTTTCGACCACAATGAATAGAACCATCAGTGAGATTAAGCCAGAGATTTTCCTTTAAACCACATACTTGACACTGCCAATCTTTTGGTGGAATTTTTACTCCATTATCCAACTGAACTAAAGTATCAGCATGTCTAGAACAGGAAACATTAATACTAAGAAATAAAGCAAAATATTTTCACAAAAGAAAATTTCAACAATGAAGTTTAAAATATACTTAAAAAATATTTAAATTAAGAATTTAATAAAAAATCTTTCAACTCTAGGTATGAAATTGCAGAATATTATACATACATTTGTTAACTGTCTTGAGACTTTTCAACATACATACTTCTAATTATACACTTCAACATTACATACTGTCAAACCATTCTCAAAGACAACTATGATGAGATAATTAATGTTTTATTTCAAAATTTGTTTATTATCATATATCTGACCACTCATAGCTCAGTTCAAGCTTGGTTGGCCTTCAACCCAAATACTTAGATATGACCAACAACTGGCAAAGATGCATGTTTAACAGGTAACAGAAATAAATACCAGAATGGCATTTTCCCAGGTTTGCCTCTGATTTTTAATTTGCACATAACCCAACTGCTTTCTAAAGGCTGATTTCTTGGATGTATTTAAAAATTAAAACAAAACTAAATCTTTCCCTCACAGATCATACACATAACTTCATTCTTTTTTTATAAATAAATTGGTCCAAACTAAGCATATGATCGGAGTCACACTATTTGATCAAGTTCACAGTCAAATACATTAAACTTGTGTAACAAAAATTTTATGTGATTGAAAAGAAAATATGAACTGGGTGTTGAATATGGACAAAAGTGAAGAGCTAAGACATAGACTCAAGAAACTCCAAACTGTTAAAAAATTTCACAGCCCATCCAGTTTCAAACCATGATTTAAATTTTCTTACTTTGTAACTTCTCTTTGCATCCCATCCCACGTCCCAGCCATTGCATCAGCCTCTTCTTGTACGCTTGCAGCATCAGATTCCAAGACTGTACTAATACTTAGTTGAATCTACAGGGAGGGAAATTCATAAAAAACTTAAAGTGATAAACCAGAATAATACAAAATAAAATATTATCATAGAAAAAAAAAAAAAAGACACAACTGTAATTAATTAACTAAAAAAATGAATTAACAGTTGCATTTAATCCAATTTTAAATTTTTAGATAAACGCACTTTTCTTACAATTAGTAGTGAAATTTGCATTCCTTACTCAATTTTCTTTTATTAAAGTCATTTTAATAAATCTATGCTTTATCAAAATCACAAGTATTGTCTCTAGACCAATAGTTTTGATAAAGGAATGGCCTGCGTTTAACAACGTAACATAACTAAATTAAAGCCCCCCCAAAAAGAGTGGTGGGGATATATTAATAATAAGTAAATCTTCTATTTTAGTACCATTACCTTATATCTAGTAGTTAGTAAATTTTTTATTTCAAAACCATTACCTTATGTAATGACATATAATTGATATAACACTTATATACAGTCAGAGCTTTGTTGAACAATTAATTACAGCAAGATAGTTGGCCATTAGCGTCAGAAGGGATTTCTTCGCAGAAAACTGGCCTTACACATTCAGATATCCACAAATACACCATACAGTTAATCTGTTCTCCAAAAACCAAATTTGGCACAATTCTAATGTTCAGAGGTCTTACCACTGTTGGACACACAGTGACAGAGCCAAATATATAATATGAATTAAATACATTAAAATTAGGACTTTATATTCTTATTTCAGTACTGTTTTATTTCAAGTTAAATATCTGATGAACTCAATTCAAATTCTATCTTCCAAGGTTTATTGCAAATTAAATGTCTGATATACACAAGTTCTGTTTCTTGACAGGAAAACATAATTTACAGTTGATCCAATTTCTAAACATATGAGGCAATGTCGCACAGTTTCATTTACATATGAAAGTATAGATGATGTAAAAAGCTGTAGCTCTTAGCTGAAACATAATGAGGGAAATTGCTGATACATTGATAATTTTTCTTTACAAAATCTCTTATAAACTCTGGTATTAACTTTAGAATACTCATTTTAAATTCATAATTCTGGGAAGATCACAACAAAATATTTAATAAACCTTCGCAAATAGAAGCTGATACAATATAAACCACCTGAGACTGGTTTGCAAAGCTTAAAATAGAGTTTATCTGGATTCTGCGATTATTCACCTTTTTATACTGGTATTATGCACTTGACAAAATTAGAACCCAAGCAAAAAATATGGCAGGTAATGTAAAAGCTGAATGCCTACTAAACAACTCTTGCTTTAAGCTAGTTGGTTAACTGATTAACACAAAACATGCAAGAGCCTTTAGTGTTAAAAGGAATGATTTCACGATGAACCTTTTTGTGTTCTTTAGCAATAATTAGTAATGTGAAAAAAGCCTGATAGTGCGATAGTCACACTAGATTCCTTAGTGGAAAAAAACAAAGCGGAAGAGTGGCCTCTTCAAGTCTGCAAATGAAGAAATACTTTATTCCATTTGAAATAAAGATTTCAGGAAGTACTCTGAATTCATCTGAAGGCTTCTGGTGCTATTCCAGGATTAGTATGCAATAACATATATAAAAAACTGTGCATAAAGCAGCAAATAATGTTCTTGAAGTACATCCATTGTCGAAACAATTTTTCATACTGAAATGCATACAGTAGATAACTGTCTGTAGTTCTGTAAAATTGTCCAAACTTATTCTTTATTATAGTCTTAATCTTTTTACCAGATTATAATTTCATGGATATCTGAATAATTTTCTATTAAATATCTTGTTTTTCATTTACCTATCATGCACTTGAAGATGACTTTCCCTGTGAAGAGACCAAGGCATCAATAAAGTATACTGACTTTTAAAATATACTGAATATAATTTTTAAAAATCCAATTTATTTGATAAATTATAGTTTAGATATGAAACACGACATTAAATTCTGCATTTCAGAGATTTTATTCCTTATATTTCTTGGTCACTTTTTGTAAAGAAATATTCCATTCCTGTTTCATAATTCATTCAGTCCTTTCTGCTGTCTAAGTATTCATAAACATTTGCTTTACATCTACCTCAGAGTCAATCCTGAACTAATTGCTCAAATCATTATCAACATGTCAGTAAAATTTATTTACTAAGCTCATCAAGGTTGATAAATACAAAATTTAAAACTAGGAGAGCAGTTAAATTTCATGCCACCAGGAAGACTGCATTCAAATTCATCTTGTAATATTAAAAATCCCGCTTTTAAAAGAAGTACTATTTAATATGGTACCACATGAATTTGTTAATTTTGAATAAAATTTATCACATCATGAACACTGAGCTTAAATCTCATTTCTAAATCTTTCAACATCCACTTGATTAGTAGCTTTCTACATTCCATTTAAATGGTTAAAGTATTCCCACTTCTAGAGACTGCAATTTATTTATACAGTTTTATGGAGGAAAAAAGCAATCTTTAGATTTAAAAAATAATGATTTGGCACATAAGAGAGAAATAATTCAGACATTAATATGAAGAAGGTTTTATGCAACTTAGTAATTAGTATTAAATTGGCTCACGCTAAAAAAAATGCAGTAAAAAATGAAAAGCAGAAAAATATGGAAATTTTGATGTTATGCCAAATAAAGAAAATCATGAAATCAGGATCAGAATATTTATGAAAATTATTTGCCATTTTCCTCTGGAATGCATTAAAAAGAAAGTAATTTTACATAAGCAAGATATTTACTAATTTCTTTTTCAGCCATAACCAAATTAATACTTGTAATATATTACATGTGCCACAGATATGAAAATTTTGCATGATTTGTTATTACAATATAAATTGTGATTTAACTAACAAGTATTCGACTCCTCTTTTGAATGCAAACAAGAATAAAAAGAACACAGCACTAATTTTGAGAAAATGGCAAAATAAATTAATAAAATAATACAAATTACTGAAGAATACAAAATGGTAAGTAAAATAACATACTACATATTAATTTAAAGTTCAAGATAAATAAATGAATAAAATATGACAACAAATTTTAAAAGGAAAAAATATCATTTATTATGATGGAAAATATTTTTTCTCAATAATAAAATTAACTAAATCAATAAAACTCGGTGAAAACTTAGCACATATAAAACAACAGACTCATTTGAATTCTTACAATCACAAACAGAAGGACTGAGATTCATAATGATTCCACAAATAAAAATTCACAAGGTTTTAGAAATAAAGTTTGCTAAATATATTTGGTAATACATAAATTACATGCTTTACCATCCCAAAACATTTCATAAGATTTTTAATTAAAAATGAATTTTGCAACATATTTTATGTTATGTATTAGCAGCTACCAGAGGTTTCAACTAATTTCACTGTTGATTTGCAACCAATTTATTGCATTGGCAGAAGCTTTGGTTCTCCTCTTTTCTGTAATTGAAATTTTGCCAACAATAATTTCCAGTCTGCAACAGTTCTTCATGTTATATTTAATTCATCATTGCAAAATCTGAGTAATGTTAACTCCTTACAACCACAGTAAATGAAGCATATGGTTGTTATAAATATGATCCACCTTCCTACAAATCAATTTCCTATTCCTATAAATCAATTTCTTATTCCAATCCTGTCTGCAAAGCTAAAACTTGCACTTTTTAATTACACATATTTTCACTTTGTGGGAATTAGAACATTCTCTACTGTTCAACACTAATCCACGATACTGATAAACCAGATAGTCATCATTTTTATTATTTTGCAAATGTCAAACAGCCACTATGAAATTAAAAAAATACGGAATGCATTGAAACTAACTGAAGATGATTGTGCATAGGGATGGAAAAGACAGATGGTATGACTCCAACAATAACAAGGCATTTATTAATAAGTTTTTGCTAGCCGGGTACCAACCAAGATATGCAAGTAGCTACTTATTCATAAACAAATAATAATACATGTATTTAAAAAAATTTTAATTACTACAAATGATTGAAATTCTTAAAATTAGAATTTATATATATCAAATTCATAACATATTAAGATTTTATCATTATCTTAAATACATGATATTATTTAAAGAATTAAAATTTATATTTTTTTAAAGTTTGAATTAAATGTGATGTAAATGAAGACTGCTATAAATACATACAGAGAAAGGTAAATCCGGACATGGAAGTTCAATAACATGAAAATCAGGCAGTAGAATTACACAATTTTTCTCTTCATATTCATATTTTTTGCCACTGACATCAAATCCACCTTCAAGACCTGAAAAACATAATTTTCAAAACCATGAAAAATAGCTCACTTTAAATTACATTATAAAGATACACCTTACAACACAGTTTCTCCTATTTAAAATTTTAAGGTGATCAAATGAAAGCAAAAGGCATTTGCATGCTATAAATTCAATTAGTCCAAATATTATGTTTTTAATCAGAGGAATAATCACGGGGAAAAATAAAAATATGTATTCTTACAGTAGGGAAAGGTTTTCTCAAATAATTATTTAACCAATAAAGGATTAATAATACATAAAATAAAATCAGGATTTGCAAATTTCTGTTACATTGGTTAAAACCACCCGTTATAATCAACATGGCGGAAAATAATTTTTCTCATCAAATAACTGAACAGACTGAAGTATGAGTACTAAAGGGGAATGCAATTTAAAACAAGATATGGAATGTGGATTTATTTCACAAAATAATGTCATAGCGCTTTTTTTGCTGCTCAATGTACAAACTGGATCCCATGTACTTTTGGTGAAGAACATAAGAATAGTCAATAGAACAGCCATCTTTTTGGATTTTATCTAGGAACAGATAAAGGTTTCAAGAGCTGTTACAAGTGTTTTACTTCTACAATAATATTATTTATCACTTCCACCATTCCTTTGTCATCTATACAATCTTCAAATACAATTGCGTGCAAAATTAAGAGAATCTGTACATTACGTAATATTTCTGGAAAACTAATGGGCAGATTTTAATGAAATTTGGTATAAATATGCACTCTTAACAGAGAAAGTATTCACAGTACATTTATAACAGTACCATTCAAAGTTATTTTATAAACACGATTATCAGTAGAGCTCATAGATATACAATTATCAGTACAGCTTTTTTGGAGCTCATAGTGCATGGATGTCTAAAATCCACATAGTGATATCAAATTAAAATGAGTCTGATAAGAGGTATGATATTCTCTCCTAGCCAGAGAGACTGCACAGTGTGATGGTATACTGTACATGAGGAATCTGTGGCAGTTGATCCCACTTCCGCAGTAAGACAATTTTCAACTCTGGGATGATTTCTCAGAGCAGGACGAATGGCAAGTCAAAACTGCCCTTCCAAAAGCACCCGTCATGCTCCATAGAGTTAAGGTCAGGGAATCTGGCTGGCCAATCCATGCACCTAATATCAATTTCTAGGTAATCGTCAACCAGCTGAGCCCTATGTGGACGAGTGTTGTCATCTATTAACATTAACCTAAGACAACTGTACACCTAAAAAGCCAAACACAGGGCTTTAAGACTCCTTGTTATAACAATAATAGAGCCTTTGTCAAACACATGCAGAGGTGTGTGGCCGTCCATTATAATGTCTTCCCAAATCATTATACTTTCACCACTGTAATGATCCTTTTCCCTGACAAGGGAGGGATGGTATGATGTTCCAGGCTCTCTCTAGATACAGACATGCTGAGAATCAGTGCCCAGGCTGAATCTCGACTCATCTGTACAAAGTACGGTGCTCCACTGTAGTCTGATCCAAGGCTCATGCTGTCTGCATTATGGTACATCGCTGGTGTCCCCCATACTTTTTACCTTTACCTGTCTGCATTATGCTAAATGCACTCTCTTGTGTGCTGCTATGAGCAGGATATAAACAGCAGCTTTTCTAGCATACAGCCTTACCTCATGAAGCCTTTGGGCAACTGTAGTCTGAACAACTCAAGTTCCATTAGAGAACACAGCTCACGTGAAAGCTGCAAAGATGTAGCAGTCCTGGATCACCACACTGGAAAGTGCTAAATAACGATTTTCATTTGCTGCTGTGGATCTTGGTTGACCTTGTCCAGATCTCCTTGATATGGATCCGCTGTTCTGAAACTGTTTTGACAAATTGCACATGACACTGAGCATTACACTAAGCTCTGTATCTACCAAGTCTCCATTTCTTCCATGATCCAGCTTATAAAATTTAACCCAATCTTATGAGAAACACGGAGGTAGAAATGGGTAAGACACCAGAATTTCATCGCTGGTCATAAAGGCACTAATTTCTATAACCAACATGAAAAAATACATCTTTTTTTAGGGGGGAAGGGGAGAGGGCCAGCAGAATGCTAGCCTTGATTAAAACGTTCAACATAAAAAAAATTCAATTAGTAAAAAAATTCCTTTTTATTACCAATTGCTAATTTTGTTGGAACCTTTTCTGGTACAGCTTTGTCTGCAATCTGTAAAGTAAAAAAAAAAAAAAAAAAAAAATTAAAAGAAAAAATACATATAACAAAATTTTGAAAAATTAAATAATGTGTACAGAGCAAAATTTTCTTTGCGAAATTGATTATGCAATTTAAACATAATTAGCTTTAAAAACTGAGTAACATGAAGTAAAGAGCAATAAGTAATTCAAAATATTACCTAATTTAAAAACCAATTTACAGAACAAGTACATCATACAAACAAAATTATGGATTAAAAAGATTAGGGTCATAAGTTTCCCTTATTAATGTTAAAGCATTTGTTGTTATTTTTATCTGATGTAACTACCTATCAGATTCTTTCTTATAAAAAATACAATTCCTTCCTCTGGTTTGATTAGTGATCTTACACAGTTATTTCATGCAGAAAAAATAACATATAAAAAATATAGCTGGACAATGCACATATATGAATTATGGTATAAATAATTGGAATTTATTTTCTCGAAAAATAAACAGTGTAAAAAAAAGGGGGGAACCTGAAATCCTGATTCCAAACTCAATGGCAACATATTCATCTTCTTTCTGCTATAATCAAAAACTTAAATTAGCTTCCCACCCATAAAGAATACAGATTTACTCTTTGCTGCAGTATTATAACATATACAAGATTGGGAAAACCCTGCAGGATCTGGATAAGATCGATTTTGAAAATCGGTACACATCCAACGACACATATGAATTAGCTCAATATGTGAAAATTTTAGAAAATAACATGTTAAGTCATGAAGGAAAAATATTATACTGAACTAGCTACTTCTTGTAAAAAATTATGTAACTTTCAGAAAATGGAAAAAATAATAAAAAAGAAGCACATAATGAAGTTAAAAAAAAGGAACTATTTTTACAGATAATCAATATGTTTACTGATGTCAAATAACAAATCTGTCAAGAGGAATGCAGATGACATTTGTAAATCTGCAAAACTGACAGCAATACTTAGAAATAATATCTATAACTGCCTTAGGAAAAAAGTGTAAGATAAAAAAGTATTTAAACACTGATCATTAATACGAGGTACAATAAAAATATTTTAAGAAGCAATTTGACAAATACAGTAGTAACTAAAATATTTAATATGTTTGCAAGCTTAACTGGAATTAAAAAACAAGCAAAAGTTTTTAATTTTGAATTAATTATTTGTGTGTGTGTACAAAAATCTATTGTGAGAGTTTAATTTTTCATGTATGGAAGGAAGAACAGGGTGTAAATATCGAAGACTATATATTACAATAAATAATCATGCGAGGATAAATGTAATATACACTACCCAACATTGAAAATGCAACACCAATAAGGCGTGGCCTGGACACCGAATGATGTGAAATGCGCAGCTCTCGAGGATACGTTGAAGAAGATACAAGGGAAGGAACATGCAGACTGTCCAATTTTCATGCCAATATTTCTGCTATGGAGATCATAGAATTTTTTTTTTTTTTTTTTTTTTGTCTCAGAGGACGTGTGTAATAGCAAAGAATGCTAGGCTGTTGTCAACAGAGGCAGTTCCAGCAGACCAAAGATTTTATGAAGGCAGGGTGATTGGACTGAGAAGGGCAGGTTGGTCCATACAGCAAATCTCAGAGGACACACAGCTAGATGCATCCACAGTGGCTGTGGCAATGATGCTTGGAACAAAGAAATGTGACAAGTTTGATGGGTGCCCGTGCAGCCAGACCGACGTCAGCATGCGTGGATCAACGCATCTGCCGATAAGCAGTAGCGCACCTGCAAAACACTTCTGCCTACAGTCTGCAGCATGTTCAAAACATCCTGGATATTTTCATATTGACCAGAATTATTTGCTGTTAATTGGTGGCTAGTGGCCTGCACTCATGGCATACATTAAGAAGATTGCCATTGACGTCAATGTCTGCAACAGTGCCGGGCTCGAGAGATGTGGACGAGTGGAATGGTGCATGGTCAAGTTCTCAGATGAGTCATGCTTCTGTTTATCCAATGATAGTCACCGCATACAAGTATGGAGTCGATATGGAGACAGGTCCAATCCGGGATCAATTGTGGAATGCGGCAACTCGTCACTGTGGTTTGGGACGAAATTGCGTACTATTCCAGCTTACCTCTAGTTTGTATTCAGGACACTATGATCGCCCAATGATGGGTTGCTTCATGTATCACTGTCTAATGTGGTCCTACAGCATATTGAGCCAGTGCTGTTCTTGCTCTGTAGAATGCATATAAATTTGAAATAAACATCACCTATTGTTCATTGCTCTTTCTGTCTGTTTGTTGAGGTTCATCACTTTCTAGCCACTCCTTCTTGGTGTTGCATTTTCAATGTCAGGTAATGTATATTATAATACAGTCAAAAGTCTTTAATCTGGACCTCCATAATCCGGAATGATCTATAATCCGGACCTCAAAGCTACAAACTTTCTGCGCATGATAACTTTACACATGCGCATATGCATCTACGCATGTGCATAATACGTTTACACATGCGCGTTTAATGTATAATGGACGGTATAAGCTAAGCTAAAATTATCTATTTCAGTTAATGTTGCAGATTGCGTTGTTCCTTAATCTTCGAATTGGATCCGGCTTATTATTTTTTGCAGACTGTTAGAGCAATTTTATAAAAGTAAGCTTGAACTTTCGATTATGAAAAAAAAAAAAAAAAAAAAAAAATTTTTTTTTTCCCCCAATTCTAGAGCTACCAAAGGATTTACAAAGCGAAAGCATGTTTCGATGTCCATCAAACAAAAAGTGGAATTGCTGCAAAAAATGGATAATGGCATATCCTTCAATTCTCTAATCATTCCAAAATATGTTTATCAATTTCAAGCTGCTCTGCCTGGGTAGGGGGGGGGGAGAACAACGCGTCCTGCAATGAACTGGAAGTTGATCTGTCAGCATTATCCTTATCTTCAGGGCAGATGTTTTTATTTTATTCGGCTTATAATTCCTTACTAAATGTAGTATTTCATCTCAATGTACTCCATCTTTGATATAATTTAAATCAAATTCCTCGTCATTATAAATATCACGAATACACATCAAATAGTTTTCTGTTTGCAATTTTCTAATTTCGACTATGTGTAATGTATGCTTTACGCATATGCGTGTTGAAAGAAATGTTTAATAAATTAACAAATAAATACAAAGCTTTTTTTTTTTTTTTGTAAATTTTGATACCCTTCAGATCATAATTGCTCTATATTTCATAAATTATGGTTTCATATTTTTAATTTTATAATTTCTGCATGCCATCTTACCAGATTTAAACTGATGATCTATAATCCGGAATCGCCCGAAGTCCCGACGAGTCCGAATTAAAGACTTTTGACTGTAGTAAATACTTTAAAATAATAAAGAAACCATATGCATTTTTGCCTGTCTGAAGTGAATAAATAATTGTAGCACTTCAAAAATAATGTGTCATAAATAAATTCATGCATACAAAAACAATATTTGAAAAAGTATAAAATAACGCATAAAAGAAAGAGTGTTTAAATGTATAGTGATTTTACTATAAAAACACACATTTGACAAATTCTGTAGAATTTTATATTAATTACACACAAACTTGATGATTCAAACTCTTATATATATATATATATATTCCCTTCAGCTGTGTGATTTATAATGAAAATCATGATCATGTATTTCTCATGAAATGTCAAATTTTATTTATTAAAACAATACATGTACAAGGAAAAAATTGAAATAATTTTTAATTATGTTTGTTATTACCACAGATTTTGCAGTTCTGTTTTTCAGATATTCTATTGATCAAGATTTATTTCCATTAAATGCATACACGATATAATATAAAAATAATGGAAAATAAAATGCCTTTTTATAGTACAGGGCTTTTTGCAGTGTTTAGTTTCCTTAATAAACTGAAATATCCTTTTTCGTAAGAAGGTAATGTTTCCAATTATTTCAGAATTCTTAAGAATTCTTAAGAATTCTGAAAATACACATCTGTGTAAAAAAAACACACACAATATTTAACAGGAAAATACATACCTGATATTTCTGTTGTGTTGTTATATTTATTATTTAAAAATCACACAGTGGTTTCCTTGAATGAAATGTCATGTCCCTGAATGGCATTACCCACAGCAACCAATGGCAGTGTTTCTTGTTTCTGGCCTAACCTTTAACGTAATGAAAAACCTTGTCATATTGAAGAACCATGAACACATTGCCGCCCAACAATGTGACTTCGTGTCAGTACAAGATACGCATGATATCATAGTACAATCATAAGTTCATTTTAGTTTAATGTAAACTCGATCAATTCGCTGGTGTAATTTTTTGTAAAGAAAGAGATAAGTTCTACTTTTTGCTTGCATTTTGGAAAAATGATTAATATTTGGGATAGCATGAAATGGAGTATTTAAAAAAAATAAAAAGAGGCTATCTCCAATATGCAACTATGGAAATAGGCAAACAATGGCAATATTACAATAAGCAATTTAAGTTTTTTATATGTTATACCATAATTTGTCTCTTTTTTTTTTATCTAAATAAATAATCTGTTCATTTCAATTTCTGCTGGAATGACTGACAACGTCTTTACCAACCTTCATAATTGGATCATACATTTTACTTTCATGTTTAATGCATATAAAATGTGTTCTCCTCCCAAAAACCTTATAATTCCGGATGTAGGTTTTTCATATTTAAGTTAGTAGAAATGAGTAAATTGTTTATATAATTTTAGAATGGAAATTTTTCCTATTCATTTGGCTTTTCTAACATGAATTTCGATTTTTATGCTTAATTATCCAGGATTTTAACATATCTAGAATTTTGTGTTTCTGAGTTTTCTGTATATTCGAGCATTTACTGTACTGTGTTTGCTATTCACATCTAACAGCTTGGGTATCTTCTAACAGAATAGATGTGGTGAAGCTTAATTATTTTATTAATATTTATTCCATTAGTATAATTACCAAAATATATTTCCATTAGTATAATTATCATAGAATATTCTAAATAGCTTCTTGACCTATACAGCTTTCATTAAAAATAAAGCCCAGTGATAACAAAATACAATAGCAATATACAAAGTGTGCACATAAAGTGAAGAAACTACATAAGAAAATGAAGGATGAAATTTTGCAATATTCTTTCTATTTGTTTTGTCACAGTAATTAACATTATTTGTTTATTGGAAAAATAATCTTATATCTGGCATATGCCTTGCAATATTATATACAGCTATTTAAAGTAAAGGCGATGTAACTCAATGCAACATATTCACACAATATATTAGTACTCAGAAAAATTCACATCAGATTGTCTCTTGAAATATACAGTGTCCCCCCCCCAGAAAAATAGCATCTCAGTTACTTATAAGGCTGAATCAGGCTGATTTTTTTAGCTGATGAACTTCTATTATATATCTGCAGTAAATGATAAATAATAAATCTTATTTAGCTATGAAGAATTAATTAAAGTTTAAATTTCATGACAAATTTTAAATATTTTAATTTTAATAAATGGGCTACAGAGTATAAGAAAAAGGAAATAATGTAACTTACTTCTTTTTTAATTTTCCTGAGGTGTAAGAAAACACAGTTAGAGGTATTAGTTGAATATTCTTGTACATGTCTGCGACAAAATCCCAAAAAACTACTCAGACAGACATATAATCCTGTTTCACTCTCCTATGGAAATTAAAGTAAAAAATAATTATTAATTCCAAATACATTTTAACATATTGGTCACAAAGGTCAAGATTCAGAATCATCAGGACTTTGGCGATTCCAGATTTTAGAATAGTTTGAAATCTAGTAAGATGACATGTAGACTGGAGCTTCAATTATTGTTCAGGTGAGATAGAAAAATGCTCTTTCCCACAAGGCTGGTACCACAGCCAGGGCTATGGAGTCAGAATTGGAGTTAGGCAGATTTTGGGGTAAAAGGAGATGGAGCTGGAGTCGCTAAAAACAGGTCGACTCGCAGCTTTTATTGGACAGTTTGAATTTGAAAAATAAATAAATAAAAAACGCTAAAAATCTGAAAGGTTTCAGATTTTAAAATTACGTACAAAGTTTTTTTTTTTTTTTTTTCATTTTGTCCGTTACCTTTATTTATTAAATATTACGTTCTTCACATTGAAACCATAAAATTCAGTTCAAGAGCAATATCGCAAAATAGTTTTAAATTGAGCATGCCTTTAGAATTTCCAATATGCAGTGTCACGTGCTGGAGATAAAAATGCTTTTTCTGTACAACATTGCCATTGCTTGCTTTGAAATCCTTGAGTTTGTTAAGCAAAAATTCATTAAAGATTTACAAAATATGAAATCGATAGTAAAACAAATTCTAAATTTCAAATTTGGGCTTCCACATGCCCATATTCGCAGCAGGATTACATCATTCAAAATTCGATATCTCTATCTACCGTTGTTTTATCACAATGCGAGAAATATATATACATTTATGCAGATTTTTCATTATTTAATTTCTTCAAATATAATGCAGGGTGCTAACATTTGTTGGCAACAGTTTCAAAAGTGAAACGGACATTTATAATGAACCAACGCAAAATGAAAACAATAGTTTTTCAGGGACAAAGCCCCTTTAGACTAATAAATAAATAACAAACAGAGTTATTATTTTTATTTATGAACTATATATATTAATAAATAGTTATTTTCTATTTTAATGACATATTAATAAATAAATATAAGGAAGGAAGATGGATGTGGTATTTGCCATTAGTGGTTAAACTGATTCATTTAGTTACAAATCTCACTCATAAACTTAGGTAAGCAGCAATAGCAGCAAGAACTCCCAAAATTGATGCCATTATTAGGAAATGAGAAGGAAAAGGAGCAACTATTAAACAAGCAACGTGATGGGAAAGTACATATTTGATGATAAAGAGGTTGTTAGAATTAAGAACTTTTTTAGATGTGGATAACTCTAATGTTTCACTAACAGAAAGACTGTGGAATGATCTTTCTAGAATTAGAAACTCTTATTTCTACACCATATATAGTCACAAAAAAGTTACAATCTGAAGAATTAACAGGAGGCAATAATGGAAGAATGTGATGTTTGTTCTTTCTGAAATTGAAGCTTTATTGCAGAAGGAATCATTTCTTCAAAGAAATAAAGTGAAACGAATTTGCTAGAGAGTGAGATTTTGCTGTGTTCAATATATGTAGATCAAAAACACCGAATTTTATTGGATGAGAAACAAATTAAGAAGGCAAAGAAAGCCATCTATGAACTTTTATTAAGAATGAAATTATTATCAGAACAATTGGAATATTCAAATCAGGACAGTCAAACTGCAGACATTGCAACTAAATCTCTATTATCCTCTTCCAGTGATGAATTAGATTTTATGAAAATAAGAACCTTTAGATATAAAAACAAAAAAATACAAACAAGATTTCTACATGCCTTTGAAGAAATAGAGAAATAAGACTGCTCTTGCAAGACACCTCTTTTAGAACTTATAAAAATCTATCCCGAAAAGTTACTAAACCTATCTCTGAAAGTGTACAAAAAATACGGCACAGGAAATTTGCCATGTGAATTCACATGAGCAGTAAAAGTTTAAGCAAATTTATAAATGTGTATCTTTAAATATTTTGGTATCAATAAAGTTATATCTTGAAGGGGGAAGAATCTAATATAAAGCAGATAGTGAGTTTTTCAATTATAAGAAAAAAAATATATGTATTTCTCATCAGAATTGGATGAACTCCGAAATTTATAAAAACAAAACTTTGAATGGCTGAAGGGTTAAAAGTAGCCAGTAATGTCCATCTGCATTCTTCCAGCTCTGCCTATGGAGATTTAAATGACATAGGCACAAAAACTGAACTTGATCTGAAATGTTACATTTGAACTTAGAAGTCTTATTTTATTTTCTGCTCATAATACGAAAAACACGACACAATCTTGTAAAAATGTAAACATCAGCAGGGCAAAAATGTAGATCCTAAGAGCTTATTCCAAAGGGAATGGGGGAAAAAAAAAAAAAAAAAACTGCTTATTGTACGCAAAACAGTATTGATGTTCTCGCACATCATTGCAGCTCTTTATGTGAATGCAGTACATACAGCTGACACAATACAAAATTAATAATTTAAGCTTTATAATATTTACAAAATATTCATCTGCAAATTAGTTATAGATAAATGCTTCTTTTCAGCAACACACTATTATAAAATTTTCATCAGATAATTTTTTTTTTATTGAGGAACTGCATCAAAATATATTTGTAAGTTGATATTGTTAACACATTTTAACCAATTGTAAAATCTTCTTGACCATAAAAGTTGGCAGAGATCTTGACAAATTTGGGCTAACCATATTGTCAGAAGTTTGAAGAAACTTATCGCTCTTCATTTAGATAATAAACAGATAAAAATTATGGATATAGCATATGAAAAATTTAAATTGCTCATAATATTTCACTTCACAGTGCCACTATTTTCGATTTTCATACAAAACTGCTCATCATGCAATTAATGCATTTTTCTCGACACCAATCTCATAATTTAAAAAACATTCCATGTTGCTTCATAAAAGACAGCATCAAATTTTAATATTTTTCCCAAACTGTGAGAAAAGACAAATAACAGTTAGTTTATTAAGAAAACCAAACTGATTCAGAATTAATTAATTTTGCATAAAGGTTTAACGAATATCTTAGGTTGTCTGTCACATCACATTATCCATTATTAATGCTAAATTATACTGTTTGGGACAGAGTTTTTATTTGTTGAAAATGGTTTGAAAGGAAACATAATTATGAGCCCAGTTCTCCAAAGACAAATTCTTGGAATAATACAATAGATACAACATCTTCTAAAAGACAGCCATGTAACTGCATTCACATTCTATACCTGTTTTTTTTTTTCATATTTGAATTTATATTCATTAATATAGGGATTACAAGTAGCAGTCCTATACATCCTTTATGATGCTACAATTTTGTCATTTGCATAATTTTTTATTAAAAAGTGAAATTCTAAACTATTTTAGAAACTTGAGTCTTCCAGTTACTTAGATGCTATATAACTGAGCTTTTATTATAAAAAAACTTTTTAATACTTTAAGTGGGTAAAAACTATTTTCTTTTAATTAGCCATATAAACATATCTCTAGACGTACACATAATTACATCTTGAAAGTTACCTGCCTAAGGAAAGAATCCTTTGTGGAAAATTTTTCAGAGAATATCAAACACAAGGAAGCCCATGAAAATTCCATGCAATCAGTGATCTAATTCCATCTGATTTCAGTTTTTTTTTAAAGAAAAACTGAATCTTTATTTTGTAGTAAATATGCTGAATACTATAGTTTTAAATTGAATAATTAAGATAGGGACAAAACTTAGTTCCTATAAAAGAGACAACATAAATTTGTATTAGAAATATATCACTAAGAGTACTCAAATGATACATAAATGTTTTTCACTTTAAAATAGGAGTGGTAAAATTGGGTTTGGGAAGGCAGACCATATTACCTGAACTTAGCTCTTCATCTTAATATGAGGGATATATTTATTATTTTCTACACTTTAACAGCTCTCTCTCTCTCTCTCTTTTTTTTTTTTTTTTTTTTTTTTTTTAACTTGGAAAAATATTTGGGGCCCCCTTTCATTGAAATTTTTCTAACCCAAAATATTTGCCTATAATTCAAAAAGTAATTAATTATAACTCAGAAGTTAATTAAATATAGAAAAGTACTTATAGGCAAAATATTTGCTTATAATTACTTTTCTACAATTAATTAGCTTACTATAAAGATATGGATTGTAAACACATTCTTCCCTCTCCACTAAGAAAAGCAGATGTTTAATATACTGCTACATATGATTGTGAAAAAATAATCGCTTGCAGTATTTTAATATTTCATATTTTTTCCACTTTATAAAAAATAACAACAGAACACATCATAAAATAAAATATGATTTTAATGAGCCAAATTTTAAAATGAATTAATACGTATTTCTTAATACTGATAATTTTGATTATGAAAACGTATCAAAATTCAAGGGTACTCTTATATGCGCCCTAAGATCACCAAATGTGGCAATATGTGTTCTGCGCCGGATTTTGGCGTGATTGCGTGTTGTATGGCAACCCTTTTGGCGTTGAATACGCTTTTGCTGGAATGTTTTAATCGCTTGTTGGTTCGTGTGTGTTTTGAAATGTTGCAATGAGAGACATTGCAAGAGGGTCTGGAAGATTACTTTTAGTGGCTGTGCATGATAGAGGTAAAGGAAACTCTGATGCATTGTATTAAAGAGTGGATTGAGCAAAATATTTTTCGGATGGCTGGAAATCTTACAAGCATTTAGGAAAATAAGGTTTTGAACATGTAAATTATTTGTGAACCATAGTATGAATTTTCTGGATAGTGTGTCTGGCTGTCATATAAATAAGATAGTGATTATGTGGCGGTATGTTAAAGACGGCATGAAATTGGTATTTCTGCTATTCGAAAGAGCATTCATTCACGGTAAATGCGTTTTATTTTATTCTTGTTCTTATTTTGTAGAATGTTATGTTCACTGTTTTTTTAGTACAAATTTCTGTCGTTATTGTTGTTTTTTTGAATTGTTTGAAATTTATTTTAGTTCATTTTGTTGATTAGTGCATAGTGCCTAGATTGTGCAATTCATAGATGTTTTTTAAAGTTGAAACTGAACGCTGTGTACATGGCATTCTTTGAAATTTATTGTTGTTATGTTAATTTATTAAAGCCAGGTGTGCGTAGTTCGTCTATTTCTTCGCTGCCTCGATTGTGCAATTCGTAGATGTTTTTTAAAGTTGAAACCGAACACTGTGTACATGGTATTCTTTGAAATTTATTGTTGTTATTGTTATAAGGAAAAAAATTATGTTTTTAATACCTTTTAACTTTGGACTTTGACTGATGGTGACGGAAAAAAACGAAAAAAATCAAATAACAAATACATTCAAAAACTAATTTAGAATATTCATATATCATTTTGACATTCTTATAAACATTCGTATAGTGGTAGTACAATTTAACTTTAGGAAGGTTTGCGTTGTGAGTAACCTATGTAAAAGGAAATATCAATAACTCCAACCAAATTCAATTAAACTCCATGTTTCTTAAAAGCCTCCTGGCTCAAACAAATGGAGGGACCTGACAGACCACAGTAAATTATACACTAAATTAAACTAATGAAACATTAAATATATATCAAACACATTTATTAAATTCTTGAATATATTATATTATTAAACAATGGATAAACTGATCAGTAATCCTACCACATATTTTTCTATGCAAAATAACACATAATACCAGACCAAATTACAGCTTACATTAATTAAGTTTAACATTATAAAATTCCTACTGTATCATAAGTGTAACACTAGTATTTTCTCCCATTTAATCTTCTAACTTTAAGTATTTAGCATGGTAATTCCCTTTAAGAACACTGATAATTTTCACATCGATTAATTAAAGTAAGTAATACTCAAGATTTCAAGCAAACATTAAACATGAAGACTCTGCTTGCAGTATTAAGATAATTATTAAAGAAAAACAAATAAAAAAAAAAACAAATCACTTACGGGGTGAAGTCCATACCGCAACACTCCCATTACTCAGGAATACTTCGAATACTGATTTAATAAGGTGATTTGACAGCTCCACAGATCGTCCAGAATCCAAAGTTTACTCGAGCAACCACATTATTCTGCTGTCCTTTATTCACAAAATCATCGTTAATGGAGGCAGACAGTTCTTGCGAATTTAAAGATGACTTGGTTGCAACACCATTGAAGCTGTCCTTACAATAAATAAATTCCAGAGCCATGGAATGATGAAAAAAAAAATCGACGCAGCTGGCACAGGCAGAATAAATAGCAATGCACACCTTAGAGGGTCCTAACGAGTCTCTTTCATTCTGGAAGCCCCGAAACTCACCATAAGCATAGAGCACCTTTGGAACAAAATCTAATTAGGAAGTCAAAGCCGGTAAAAAACAGGAATACCGCATCAGGATGTCAGGATCACCAAGAGAATCTGCCGAACAATTCTTGGGATAAGAGAAATTGAAATTCTTCTGCTGAGCTCTATGCCTTATGCCAACGCAAATTCTCGCCAGCTAAAAGCCGAGAGAAAAATCATACCCTCTGCCGGCTGTTCACGTGGCTCGCGAGAAGCAAGACCCGAAGGATCAAGCCCCGACTTTTTCTCCTCTTACTCTTCTTGAAAATCAGAATCAGAATGATCTCTAGCCTGGTGCAAGCCCCAGGAAATCTCGGTTTCTCCGCCTCGTGAGTTCATAGGCTTCAAAAAAAATCATAAAATAAATCTTACCAAATGCCGGAATTTTATGTTATCTAAATTGAGAAAATGACAACCCATGACGAATCAAACACCAGAAAATCTGACAATGCAATCGAAAAAACATCTGCACTCACATAACGTGAGAAAAAAAAATAGACCCCCCAACTAACAAGCGAAACTAGCTTTTACCAGTATCCAATTATTTAACTTAGTACACCTCCCACTGTCTTGAAGTAAGAAAACTGCCAAAGCGACAGGAAAAACAATTTCCGTTTCACACGCATTAGCTAAAAGGTGACAATACATACCCCTACTACCTTCATTGTTGGAAAGGCCATAAACCAGATGTGTGTCCTCGCAACCGTCTCTCGCCTTTGTTACAATTCCCACTCAAGAATAATGAGTTAAATAAAACCTTAAGAGCTTAAGAATACTTTTTTTTTTTTCAGATTAAAATACACATGAATACAAATAAAAATATTAGAATAATAATAACTTAAAACACATATTAGTAATTGAAATTCGCACATAACATTATGTTAATTTATTAAAGCGAGGTGTGCGTAGTTCGTAGATTCTTTTGCTGCGTAGATTGTACAATTCATAGATGTTTTTTAAAGTTGAAACCGAACACTGTGCACATCGTATTCTTTGAAATTTTATTGTTATGTTAATTTATTAAAGCGAGGTGTGCATAGTTCGTAGATTCTTTCGCTGCCTAGATTGTGCAATTCATAAGATTTTTTTTTAATTAAAACATATCACCACGTACATGGATTCTTGTCAAATATTTTCGGCCAGAAACTTTTACGTTTTTGCTATCTAAATTTTTTTGTTTCGGATTTTTAGCTTAAATTGTGTGTTCAAAACATGGTTTTTGGAGACATTTTAGACTTAAAGTTCGAAATGTAGACAAAAAATTTAGATAGTAATATGACACTATGGAGTTTCTTGCCAAAAATGTTTGGCAAGAAATTTGGCGACTTGAGGGCGCATATAAGAGTAGTTCCAGTTCAAGTTATGGGAAGGTGGTGTTACACTTTGGGAATTTTGAAATTTGATCTAAAACTATCAGCAAGATTTGAAAGAAGCTACATTGAACGACTATTTAAAATGACACTAAATGTAGAAAATCAACAGAAAGATTGAGCTCTAACAAATACTATAACAAATGTGAAATACTTAAAAGAAGAGGAAAACGAATCTAAACTATGCTAAATGGCATATGTAATAGAGTTAACGATACATTTATATTGAAATTGCTTTTTAGTAATATTTCATTAGATTTTATCAACATTTATGTGATTTCAGCATTATACATATTTTATTTTAAAATATAAAATGTTTAAATATTTCACAGAAAAATTAAGTATTTCACTGCATAAAATCCATACAACTGTTCCAGGAAATTAATTACAATAATGTGATCTTGAAGATTGATGAAGGCATTTAAACAAAAATCGACACAAGTACTGCCATGACATAGATAAAAAATTTATAAAATACTGTACATTTTTAGAACAGAAAAAAGATATTTAAAAAAAAGTAGAAACGATGAATGGATCTTATGTCATATCGTTCATAATATGAGAATAAAAATGTTAAAACTTGCACTATTTAGTTCTGTTTTAAAATTATGCCACAAACTAATGAAATTATACATAAACAATACATTACAAGTATCTAAAAATCACTGGTCATACGTTACACTTTGCAAATGTTAAGAGAGGGAAACGTTCAGTAAACTTTGTTATATATCACAGCCACAACTTGATATAATTTTCTCCACGACAAACGTAGCAGATTTGTCAAGTAGTAATTAAACTTCACAGAAATATTACTTTTAACAGAAAAGGCACGCCAAGAACTGTAAAATGTATGATATAATCGTAAGAAAAGTTATCTTTAGAGAAAGTAAAAGCTATGCGTCTTTGAAAACTGCATACCGAAAATAAAAATTAAATAAAAAAAACGCTAACAGCTAAATCAGTATTAAATACAACTCACAAAATAAAATTTTCTGCCTTATGCACAAACCGTAGTTTAATAGGAATAATGTAATTATACGGAAATATCTAAATCAGGTACATAGAGACATTTTTAACATAAATTAATTCATAAGAAACTACAAAGGAAAATTCAAGTAAGGCGATAAAAATACAGAATAAACATTTTTAGATAATAAAATATTTCAGAAACAGTAAAAGAAATAAATACCGGAGTATGAAAACAAAAAATGCATTCATCTTTGTAAATTTTATCCCCAGCGGATGGGATTTTAACTTTTTGTATATGAGATAGCAATACGGAGGCCGCCATGACAATGTTTAATTTTTGTAAATTACTTACAAGTTGAAGTAAATGTTTACTGCAATGATGATAAACACTTTTATTCAATTTCTAAAGAAGGGCTAGGGCAATAAACTCCCTTCACAAACAATAACAGCGGCAAGAGAATGAACATGTAAATAATATGAACATCAATGTAAATTTATAGTATTTTTATATATAGGGGTTGGACAAAAATGTGGGGGCATAATAACAAAATAAAAACATATTGCTGTGACTAAGGAAAACTGTTGGCATTCAAAACAGCTTGCAGTCTTCTCGGAAAGGATACTTAAAAATCGTTTATTATCAAGGAAGTTAGAAAAGAAGGAAGGAGGGTTCGCAGTTTCCTCCACTATAGGGGAATGAAATTCCACCGAACAAGCGGCGTCCATGTTTGTAACTTCAAAACACTGCATTACGGCAGTGAAACGTACGTGTTTCTAAGCTGTTCCGTGCATGTATTTTACAGTAAAAATATGTTAAATTTATAATTAAATGCTTCGCTATAGTTAATTTTTTGTTTTTAAAGTTATAAAGATGATATCCGTAATTTACTACGTACAGAAAATCATTAAGAAATAGTTCGAAATCTAAATGCATGTGCATAACATTAAAGCCTTTAAAAATTATGTTTTCTGCATATTTCAAGAATTTGTTTAGATTTTATTAGCAACCTGTTGAGTGTACTTTCCAATTTTTCTTTTAAGAAGTGATATTTCTGATTTATTCACGATATTATCATAATTTAGTAAAGAATCATTTCATATACAAAATTTAAGAGATAGGAAAGAAAATTATTTTAGTATGCTTAAATACTCCAGCTTTAAGTTGTAATACACTAAAACAGAAATTCAAATATTATTTTTATTGGCTATAACAGTTGTTGTAATAGCTAATTTCAGAAGACTGGTACTTGATGCAAATAGTATTTCATTTTTAAAGCATTTTTGGCATAGTTTAAAAATGAATTAATTCTTAATTTCAGAGGCGTAGCTAGGGTTTTCAGCGCCCGGGGACAACTGAAGATTTTGCGCCCCTTTCCTGTGTGCCACGAATGGAAAACACTTCATTCTAAAATTTCGTACCATCAATTTGGCACCCCCTGGATGTTGCGCCCGGGGACAAATGTCCCCCCTTGCCCCACCCTAGCTACGCCACTGCTTAATTTCAATTAAAAACACATTGTAACTTTTATCCATTTATCAATTTTTAGAAGTATTTTAGATGAGGGGAAGATTGTTTTTGTGGAAACCTGAGAAAAGTGTTAATTTTCATTAAGCTACAGTAAATGAAATAACTTCATGGAATCAGGAGATCTAAAATGCTAAACAAACAAAGATAAAAATAAAAAGGAAACAGATTTGCATTTTACATGTCAAAAGCGACAGCTTATGAAGGGATGTTGGATTTAGATGGTTGCTCAGCTCAGTGCATCTCCAAGTTAAAAAAATTAAAAACTTATTTAAATTTTATTTTGACTTATTTCTAATGCTTTCCTGTTGAGAAAATTTCTACGCATAATGGGAAAATGTCTTTGTCTGATACTGAATAAAAAAATGCAACAGTGAAAAAAATATCATCGTATTTCATATTTATGAATCCTAAAGAAATTACCTTGAATTAAGCTGAATTACAGAAATATACCTACATAAATTCTTGGATACATCTTTCCACATGTTCAATTGTGTAAATATTTTACTTTTATCGCTACACTGCCCAGAAATTTTCAAGTTTATGCAAAAAAAAAAAAAAAAAAAAAAAAAATTAACAACAGAAGAGTTTATCTTGAACAAATGCACAAATTATATTTGTAACAGTTCACAAAACTTAAAAATGAATAATAATTAATACATAAAAAAAGCATTGCTTTATTTAAGACCTTTACCATTCAAAAAATAGTAAAAATTTAGGTCTTACTTTTCATGAAAATTATAAGACGAAATTATACAGTTTAAATCCTAGCACACATAATTGTATGTTAAGGAACGAAGATGGCAGCTATAAACAGAAACATTAAAATGTGTTTAACATATTTTGATTATTATTAAGTCCTTTTTTCACATCTGGAAAGAAAACAACATGACATTGTGATATTTTTTAACATAGTTATCAAATTACATAAAAAAAAAGAAAATCAATACTTACCCGTGAAAAGTAATCCCAGGAATCTTTTTCGAAAATCTGTTTGTGCATCCATATGCAACACAAGTTGACATGCTTCAAAAAGCAAAGAAAAAAATGTTGCAATTACAGAGTTTCTTGCACAAGTCACAGCGATAATAGTAACATGACCTCCAAGCTTCACCATTTGAGTTGAACCTTACCTCCTTCTATTCTAATCTCCTTGTTTATTATGTTTTAGAGAGATTAATCCAATGGTTTTTTTCGTTCTTCTTAACTTCTTAACGTCGATGCTGGCTATTAAAATTGCCACACCATGAAGGAAAGCAAATACAAAAAATATATTTATTGCAGTAAACAATATGACATGAAGACAAAATGGTTTGGTTTGGTTTATTAGATTACGGCAAAGCACTCGTGGGCTATCTGCCTTAAGGGAGGGATGCCTTCGTGGAGGACTTTTTAAGGGAAACAGGCTCGTATACACGTTACACATGGGGAAAACCACGAAAACCTCATGCAGCCAGCCCGTTCGCGGGATTCGAACCTCGGACCGAACTACCAGTGTTCAGCGACGTTACCGCTCGGCCGCTGGTGGGCACTGAAGACAAAATGATTAAACTTGTAAGCATTTTGGAGGTTTACAGGGGTGCAAAATGAGAAGAAACAGCTGCCACCCTTGGCAGCTAAAACGGCCCTTACCTCATTAAGCATGTAGTCAAACTGGGCAACTCATTCCATGTTGCTTCAAGTCTATGACATACTTCATTAATCGTATTAGCTGGAGAGGGGTGGCCGGCCAGACTCTCAGCAACCCATGACCAGATGTTTTCAATGAGTGACAGATCAAGAGACCGTGCAGGCCAGGCCAGCAATCAAATTCCCTGTGTATCGAAGAAGGTCAGAACACGGCGTGCAACAAGTGTCTGGTATTGTCTTGTTGGAACATGACATTTGGGGACCTCGAAGATAGGGCACAACCACTGGACGAAAACTGTCAGAAATGTATCCATCTGAATTCAAATAACCGTCGATCCGAACTAGGCGTGTGCACGTCGTGTACCCAATGGCTGCAGAGCTTATTATATCAGGTGTAGGGCCTCCTATACCGATATCGAATGCAAGCAAGCGACGTGCGGGCTACTCGGACACTCCAGACACGTATACGGCCATCAGAATACTGCACCTAGAACCGAGACTCGTTTAAAAAGGCGACATTGTGCCAGTCCTGTACCCAGAGTCGCCGTCTCTCCCTATGCTGCATTGTCAAGGGAAGCCGAAAGAATGATCATCCTGCTGATAGTCCACTCTGCTGCAAATGTCGACGCACCTTACCAGCTGATACTGAGCGTGCTTAAAACATGCCCATTTACTGAGTAATGGTCAATGATGTAGTCGTACGGTTTTGCAGGGTTTACCTCACAATATATCTGTCCTCTCTAGCGTTAGTCATGGGAGGGCGTTGAGATCCTGCATGCCGTTCAGTAAGACTTTCAGCAATCCATTCATTCCATATTTGCATGACAGCGGTTGGATGTCGACCAGTGCGAACGGCTATATCACGGAACGATAATCTATACTTTTGATAGGCAACGATCCTGCCCCTATCGAACTTGCTGGTATGTATTTTCTTTTCTTATTCGAGGCATAACACGATATTCTGAGAAAACTCCAACCTTACAGGGCACTTTCCGAATGAGAAATCCACTGCACAACTTTTCTTTTATGCAGAGCTTCCGATCTCGTTTCTTCCTCCTGCGTCGTCTAAACGAGCTGAAATGCTAATAATTTTCATATCCCTACTGCTACTTCCTTTCATGTGATTTTGATGTTCGTGAGATATTTCTTCCTGGTGTTGCAATTTTAATGGCCAGCAGTGTAATTGATATCATTACCTGATTCAGAATGCTTTATTATATAATCTTGCTATAAATTAATGTCAACGGAAATATAATTTAAAGAAAATTATGGCTTCATTGCTACTAATTTACCTTTTGTTTCAACTGCCACTTGCTGAAAATTTGTCCTTTTCTTCCAATAGGCCCTCATTCACAATTTTACTTGCCAAGATGACTTCTCCATATGAGTTTAATTAATTCGTCATGAAACTAGAATGCAGATTATGATTTAAGCAAAACCGTATTTCTGTTTCGTAGAGTTCTAAGCATTAAACTGAATATTCCTGCCTAATTACTGGTATTTTATTAAAATTTCGAAAATTATCTTTAGAAATTTTAATTTGTGTAGTTTCAGAATTCTGTCTCTTTTGATTGATGTTTGCATATAATTTATTTAAGTGCCCTGTATTAATCTAATATTCGGTATGATCTTAAAATAACTATGAGAATATAACTATGAGAATGAAATGGTAAATAGCGATATGGAATATAGATTAAAAAAGTAAACGAAAATGTATGCATCAATTTAATTTTTTAAGAGTACAATTTAATTTTTTAAGAGTACTATTTTATTTATTTATATTCTTTAATATTCTAACGCGTTTTCTGTGCTTCATTAAATGAAATACTTTATAATTACGTTTACAGTAATAATAATACGGTGAAGTTACAGTGGCAGAATATTGTTCAGACAACAGCTTTAGTGACGGCATTTCATTGAGCCAAAGAAAGTAAGTATCACGTAAAGAATAGCAGCATGCTGATAAAACTTAATTTTCCGACAACAAATTAATTCCTCATTTTATAGGGTCTGAGAGTCATTAATTTATTAATGTGCAATAAAAACAATTCTCCAGTTTTGATTTATTAATTTTATTTTCTATTATTGCAGAAGTAACTAAATTATAAATTAACCCTCCAAGCGGCAGGTCCGTATATATTCATTCGAAAATAATGGCTCTTATAGCGGCAAGGCAGCATA